AGAGAGAGAGAGAGAGAGAGAGAGAGAGAGAGAGAGAGAGAGAGAGAAGAGAGAGGGAGAGAGAGAGAGAGAGAGAGAGTCTGGCTCAACTTGCAACCGGTTGAGAGAACAGCCGCAGTTTTCGCAGAGAAGAACCAACAAACCATCTCAGAGAAGTGATTATCGCGAGGGTGGTTCGGATTTGAGATATCGAACGTTACGACTCTTCGCCGCGGCAAGCGCTTCGCGAGAATCTCGTCGAGTGTGAACATCGCGCGATGGAGTTGCTTGAAGAGAGAATCAGTATGTTGCACATCTCTCAAGTGAGTTTCTATCTATAGTTTCTGTCTATAGTTTTTGTGTAGATAACTTTCCCTGCCAAGATCACACATCATTATTATAAATTTGTTTACTATTATATTTATTGTTTACTATTATGTTTATTATTATATTTGTTTGTTGTTATGATAAATTTATCTTTGTTATTAAAATTGTCAACTCTATTTGTCAACTCTACTGGATAGAATACTACTATAAAACTGATCTTCCGTTTTTATTCCAGATTTTGATGGATTTGATTAAACTTACGTCGATATCGTGGAGCTACTTACATTTAATATTCTCATTAGGATGCTTAAAAACTATCGAGCTTTTTAGGTGAGAAGGCATCGCATTCCGAAATATATAAACTATTTAATTGTTTTTATCTGTGCTTGTAAATAACACTAATTCATTCATTTATTTATTTCTTTATGGGAAAATATTCATTTACAAATATAAGAAGAAATAAAATAAATAATAATATAAAATATAAAAAAATAAAATAGCACAAAGGAAAAGGAAACCTCAATATTTCGTAACATATAATTGAGTAATACTGATTAACTTAACACAAATAAATAAATAAATAAATAAATAGACATATTATATTTACGCGCTATGACATTTTCCTGCTTCAGTTTACGTTCTGGCTAGCCTGAATGGAAAAATGAAAGGGATGCTTTTGTGCGACATCGGTTTCTTTTGCCGAGTTAAACGCCTCGAGAAGACGCCTTTCTACTCGATGTCTCTTTGATTCGAGATATTTCAAAGCGAGGCGCGTTTACGTAATTTCCTTAATATAAGTGCCGAGGCCCTCGCGTTCGAGGCGCGCTGCTACATGCGAAATACCAGCGCGCTTATCGAATTTGCACGGTTGTCACTTCGACAAATGATTGCGGTAACCCGCTGGCCGGATAATATGCATGGCGTTTTAATTGCGATGACGAATTCATCGAGAATGCCGGCGAACGAGCGGCACGAGTCAGGTAAATAACGAGTAAATCGATCGCCTTAATCTAGCGATGAGTTTCAACCGCGGCGGATCATCCGCATTCTTGCGGAAGGTGACTCCACGCGAGCCTCTCGGCGAGAGAGCGCAAGGAAATCGGGATGTATCGCGCTAGAAATGCCACTCGACGGCACGTGCGGGATTAACGCGCGCTGATTGAGAATTAATTTAGCAAAGCCGCGCCGATCGTATCGCCGATTAAAGCTTCAACGATATGCGCACGTAGTTATTTATAACGACTGACTGGCCGGCCTTAATTATTCATTGTTTCGGAGCGACATTGAGTGGAAGAAGGAAGATGTTAATCCATGGAAATTGCCCCGAGGCGACCGTTAATGATGCAATTTGACGAGAACTGCGCCGAGATATTTTGCATTCTGCTGAATCTCGATAAACGCGAGCCTCCGTTTATGACACATTGTGATCGTGACATTTAACTGCGCAACTTTTATTTATTACGCGAAGTCAAGTACGCTAATAGAACCATGTGCGCGGTTATACGTGTATATTGCGATAGTGACGTGAAAAGGAAAGAAGGCCTTTTTTCGAATATATTTTATCGTCGGGGTGGAAAATTTGCGGCGATAATTCATAAAGCAAAAAAAAAATAAAGGGCTCGTCCGGGATTTGAACCCGGGACCTCTCGCACCCTAAGCGAGAATCATACCCCTAGACCAACGAGCCACTTGTTACTACCTTTCTCTTTTAGTACCTACATTGGACAGTACACTATGCTGCATTTAAATTCTATCATTCAAAATTTATATCGTTCAACTTATCGTCGATAAATTAAGTAAGGAAACGAGATACTGATTATCTTGACACATTCTAACGAGATATTTTTCCGTTCTCCATTTAAAAAGATTACAACACTATTAATATGAACATCATGTTATACCTAGCCACGGCACAGCAGTTGACGCTTTAATCGAAGCGCACATCGACCTCTTATCTTCGTTAATTACATAGCAAGATAACATCTCGAGATTACAGCACGTGAATGGGAAGCTCTCTCTCTCTCTTTCTCACACACACACATACACACACACATGCACACATACAAGTCATATTTGGCGCCATGATTATCGAGAAACGAGACGTGTCGCCGGCCGCGATTTTGATCCGGTGCATTTGATTATTATTCTCTTCATATCGCATTTCCTCACGAGAAAATATCAAACAAGCGGTGTTCTTCCTTCTTCGATACAACGCGCGCAACCCTTAGTAGCATATTTCATTGAATTTATTGATATACACTGGGCCAATTTTGGTGAATAAAATGAGAATAAATTGCTAGTATTGCGCAACATGATTCTACCAATATTGGCATACATTGGACCAAAGTAACCCAATATGTAGTCAATATTGGTGACAAATAAATTGTCGATATTTGGAATCTAGCATTGGCTATAAAATACAACAGTCGTCTACTTTGCGATATTAGGTCAATATTGGATATATTGGGGTCCAATTTGTAGCCAATATTAACTATGTATATTAATTTACATCCCCGATTAATTGTGCTACTAGGGACATGTTGAAGCAGAAATTCATTGGAATTACAACGCGTGTCGAAAATCTCCGGTACTTGGAATCGTGCGATTCCTTTTTCACGTGTTAAATGCGTGCTATGTTTCCAGTCGGGAGTTCTAACGAGACTTCAAATTTTCATTTCGTCTCGACGTCGGTGTCGTTTATTTAACATTCGCACCTATATTTCACTTTGATTACGCTCCGTGCCGCCGGTTTCTGGAGCCGCGCGAGCGTAGTAGCTGCAGCCGTTCGCACGAACGCGGCGGTCCATATATTTCTCGATCTCACAAATAGATCTCGCTCGCTTGATATCTTCTTCTTTTTCCTCTCCTCTGCGTTGCAAGTTAATTTAACGCCTGAAAATGTGGGTCGCGCGACGCGCGAGGGCGTGTTTTTTAAGTACTCATAAATTTTTGGGAACGCGTGTGGCATTTTCACGCGAGCATCGTTTCTCGCCGGATTATCACAATTCGGCAGTTCGTACTGATCATTCGTTCCGATTGCGCGTTTACGCGAGTCTTCCGTCGCGCGAGATGTAATTCATGTCGACGATTGCACTGAAATTTGTTACAGATTCCCAGTGAGAAATGACTTACCGATAGACGTCGAAAAGACGTCGATCGGTAAGTCATTTCTCATTGGATTTGTATAATTTTTATTTTAATTTCTGCAGTTCTCTCTTGCTTACGTTCTATTCGCGATCGTCCTATTTATCTGCGATTCTATTTAATGCAATAATAAGACGTTAGACTTGTTCCATGGCGGATTATCGAGTATTTCATTAATACGCAAATAAGTTTTTGTTTTTATAGTTATAGGATTACTTGACATATGTAGCAGTGACAGAGATATTATCTATTTAGGAGAAAACTTGCATCCAGGCGCCGTGGCTTAGTTGGTTAAAGCGCCTGTCTAGTAAACAGGAGATCGAGGGTTCGAATCCCTCCGGGGCCTGCTCTAACGAGTTTCACCACTCGTGAGTATTTTTTTTTCACATTTTGCCTTTTTTTTTGTTATATCTATAACTCTAACAGTAAAAGTTATATAAAATTCACTCCTAAGAGTTTTGTAAAATAAAGAAAATGCTTTTTTTAAATAAAAACAATTCTAGGAAAACAATTGTGTGTTTTGTAAAAGTAGTAAGCATGTTTACAAGTTATATTTTTTATATTGAATAAATTTTACTAACTTTTCATATACAAGAGTCGTTATTAAAAAAAAATGTCATCTACAAATGTTTATAAAACACCAAACCTTACATTGGCCGTAGATCGGAGTTTTGGCTCGTCGAGAGAGCGTTTGGACCGAAGCAAAAACCCGTTTGCAAATTGCCCTAGACCCCGTCGACGCAATAATAGAATCTAATTTCCTGCTCGCGCACACGGGCGAGATCAAGGTATTATGTGCGTACGCTTGCAACCGGTTCTCAGTACCGGTGTATATGCGACTGCGGTCATAAGCGTATTTATAACCGCTTAACAGCTTAAGATCAATTGCGGCATTGCTGCCGAAAAATATTCCGTTCTAAATTAACGTGCGGTCATTGCTTAGGTATGCGCGTGAATTACTCGGCTCGGTCTTCTCGTCCTGGCGAAACTCGCCGTGTAATAGTGCGTCCGAAAGAGTTTTCATCCCGAGGAGCACTCGAAAAACATACTCAGAGAAAAAGACACGGTGGTGGCGACTATATGAGTTTTGTATGTAGAACTAATGTATTTTAATAAACTGTTTTACAGTTATTCTGTTAATAAAACCGAATGAAAACTACATAATTATTGTGTAGTTTTTATAATCATTCGGCTTTAGTTGCAATAACTACAAAATAGTTTATATCTATGTAAGAAAGAATTGCCGAAATTACGCACCGGTTTTCTGAGTAGTACTTCATTGATCGTACTTAATTTTTCAAAATGGTGTTTTAAATATTTGTAGCACGCGCCCAAACAAAATAAAATCTGAACATTTTTTAAATGTATATTTCTTATTGTTCATTATGTCTTATTTATGTCTTATTTTCATCGTTAAATGATTGGCTCGTCGAGAGATGCTGAATATTAACGATTTTTTTCGTTAATATTCAGCAATAATAATGAAATTGATGAGTTACGATTTAGAAGACGCAATTTTTTTCTCCCCTACATTCATTCTACATATCAGAAGAAATATTCTCATAAATTTTTCTTTGCGTATATGATAATGTGATACATGATAAAGTATACATGATAATATATACTTTTCTGACAAGTATATTTTAAGACTATTATTAAGAAATTTTTTATTGAAGATAACCGTTGTTTAAAAGAAGATAAGTAGACTGAGTAACCGTTTTTCTTAGCAGTAAAATGATATATTGTGTAGGTGTGATATTTTTATTTTTAGTTAATGCTTATTCTTAGTCAGCGGGAACATTCGTGAATTATATAACGATATTTCTTAACCACTTGCCGATACATCTGTTTAAAGTTACCGAAGTCTCTATTATGACACCGAGGATTTAAAGCGCGTCTAAATAATGTAATATCTTTATACATTGTAGAATCGGAACGATCTTTCTCCCTCTCTTTCTCTCGCTCCTTCTCTCTCTTTCTCTCTCTCTTTCTCTCTCACACACACACACACACACACACACACAAACTTTTCATTCTCTGATATCGATCAATTATACGAGAACAAACGCGATGACCCGCGCGACGACACGAGACAAACGATTCTTACCGTGACTTATAAATCTGTCAACCTTAATTCACGCTGCTCTCTTTTCTTCTATTGGAGAATAGAGCGTGCGTTAGAGAAAGGTCGCGTATACTCGCATGAGTCGGTGTTCTGTGTGGCAATATATGTCATGATAAGACGCTCTTAGACGATCACGGAGGCACTGATCCCTTTTCTTCTTTCTTCCCTTCAACACGGTAGATTTATGAGTCATCAGGTCGCGCGCTATCAGCGCTGCGATAAGACCATTGGCATCGTTGCGCTATCAGCGAGATTACGTCGTAATGACTGGACTCTGTGGATTCCGCGCAGGATCTCGTTAACCCGTAAGAACAGGATTTCCTACCGAATTCACTTAACATGTGGCAATTAATTCCTTCCGTTGCCCCAAATTTGCGGCACTGCCCTGTGGTTTTTTGTCTCGGAGTAAGTTCCGGCTGTTAATATATAAACTACGTTACTCGCGACAAAATAATGCTGCGTATTCGATATTGGAGAGCGATTAGGGGGAAATGATGAAACATACCGATGTGCGAATGCATATGCAGTCGCCCGAACCCATGTTTGTTTGCTTAATCGATAATCGTCTACGGTATCCTATGGCAACCGCGAGTTTCTGCAAACATGCTCTAAATTTCGACGAATATCAGTCGCGCAACGCGTCGCGCTTGCAATGCGTGAAAAATCCCCTCGACCGTGCAAATATAAACATTAATATTATACACTCGAACGAGGAGCGAAAATAAAACTGAAACATGGGTAATACCGAGAGCAACGTCACGAGCGGCGTGAAAAAGCAAACGGACACGTCGTCCATCATGCTTTACAAGTTAGTGGATTTGAAAGGTGAGTGGGATAATTAAATGATACCTGCGTCGTGGTTCTTAGCGATTTATTGTGAGTCATATAATGAGCTATAATCGAGACTGGTTGAACACGATGCGGATAAATCTAATTAAAAAGAGAGAAACTGGTATATGAGCATTCGGCTTATACCACACACTTAGAATAACACGCATTTTGGCATATGTGACACATACGTCACATAAATGTTTCGTTCATGCATGCTTTTCAGTATGCATCATACTCTCTAAGTTTCTTCGAGTAGAATCTCACTGAAAACAAGTAAAAAGTAGTAATATTTTTGCTCGAAGCAATAATGAAATCGCGAACTTCAAACTTAGATTCTGACTTCATATGAGTGAATGTTTTAGTCGAATGGAGTGAATATGTTCCTGTGAATGGAAAACATCAGATTTATTTTTCGATTCCGAGTGAATATATTCGTTCAACTATTCAGAGTGGAGAATTCAGTCCACATGAGTGATAAATCACTCAAAGTCGAGTGATTCGGTGGTCAGTTCACTTTTCGAGTAAAATTTCACTCCAAGAAATTCAGAGAGTGCTGTTTCTCGGAATAAGTACACAAATTCATATATAAATATCATATACTATACAAGTATCATACAGATATCATACAAATATCAGACACTCACAAGTATCATACAGATATCATACAGTATTAGGTATAGAGATATTCGACGATCCGTATACAAATGTTCAGTATTTTTCGCGGACGATAATGTCTGTTCAGAAAGATGGTCAGTGGTCGAGTCAAATCCGAGACAATTATTGGAAAAGAATTTGCAAATCTGTCCACATTACGAATGGAAAAATTTCTAAAATGTGTTTAACCGTAAAGACGATAGTTAAGCCCAATGTCCGCGGAGTGTAATTTGAAGTTATTTTTCTTGCGAAGAGTCATATATGCCGCTAAGTTTGACTCTCAAAATGGAAAATAACATCGAATCAGTTTGAAAAAACTAATCGTCAAGCTCACAACGGAGCAAGAGTCAATTTTCTCTATAGAACTTAACGGCATGCATGGCTCCTCTCGCAAGAAAAACAACTTCAAGTCACGCTTCATGGACATTGGGCTTTAGACAAAAGATTGTGATGAGTTACGTCGCAATGAGCGAAAAGCGGGCGTCTGAAATCTGAAAATGGCACGCGTGCCGTCGTTACATGTCTGAAGCGCGTTGTCAGCGTGTCGGCTGCGCCCGTCGAAAACTGGCTTTTGATGCGGCTTTCGCGGTTGTAACGAGGAAGGATATGACATGCCGGCGAAACGTAAGGCACATAAATAGAGCCATTGGCCAGGCCGAGCGCATTCAGCCAACACGCCAAACGCTCTTTCGGTCTTTGAGAGACCTTTCATCGACGATCGTAACTTTCGTCGTATAACCTCCTCGACAAGAGTAACGAGAAATTATTATTGTCGTAACGTTCGCGCTATGAAATCGAATGAGGTATATACGCGAGCAACGCTAGACGTATTGTTTGACATTGTGAATTTATCAAAAATTCGAGAGACAGCGGCCGGCTGCGCTCATGAGGGAGTAGATTAACGTTGACTGCGACTGTGACATTAGGGAACTGAAATCGATGCGTTGTTTCCATACGCCAAGCGATTATGTTGAATCGGTTCAACAGATCTGTTGTGTCAAATAAAACAGAAAACGAAATTATTCGATTTTGAAGGATTAACACGTGGACTGTCACGAGTGACATTAGGGAATCAGTGTATTACTTAAATTATTTATTTATTTGATTATTTAATTATTATAATATTATTATTATATTATATTTATTATATTATATTATATTATATTATTTTATATTATATTATATTATATTATTATTATATTATATTAGATTATATTAATTATATTAAATTATATTAGATTATATTAATTAAATTATATTAATTATATTAGGTCAAATATTTGTCGTGTTTTTCGAATAAGATGGAAAACAAAATTGTCGAGACACAAAATCTCGAAGATTTCGTCACTTTTAATTCATCACGAATAAAAGGAGCAACATCGATTGGATGTCTTTTCGACATTCAACGAAGACCTCCTACTTTTCGATAACCAAATTTCCTGCTACAATTTAATAGAAAGATGACAAATCTTTTGCATCAATCTTATATTTATTCTATAATATTTATTCTAATATTTATTGTCTAGCAAAACTTATAATAAAACTTTATTTACTTAAAAAAAAGCAAACTTATTCGATTTAACTCGTGTGGAGCAGTTTGTCTTCGCGCGTCAGCTACGAGGTAATTCGGAATACAGGTATTCGGAAGTCAGTGTGTGTCGAATTAGACCGTTTGGGAGATATTTATTACCACTTTCTCGTCGTTGGACGTCGAGGGCTCGTCCAGATTCTCCATCATCGCGTGTATCGTAGGAGAATTGTAGGTGTGTACGTTATACTTTCCCATCTCGGCCTCGAACAGGATGTTGTTTATCTGATGCTGCGCGACGAGCCTCGCGCGTACGTCCGTTATGTTTTTCAGCCGAATGGCGACGTGCTCGGCAAAAACGGTGAATTCGTCGCGGCATGACGAAATCTCCTGAAATCATGGGAAAAAAGTCGTGACACCATGACTGTGAGGACCGAGCGTCTCACAAGACGGGTAGTAAATCAAAATTCCGCGACGTGACGCGTTGAACGGGACTAACGTATGATGAACAGTCTCGGGGTTCTCTGCGAGATGATTACGCAATACTAATATGAATGTTGTATATCAACAATACACAATGTTTAATGTATAATATTAACCTCATTTCAATTCTGATAGTGAATACATGCAGTTTGTGTAGACATCCGCTCAGTGTTGCCTGATATTAATAAATTCTCATTAGTTGTAGAAATAATGCATAGAACTGAACAATAGCTTTGAATTCTGTGATTGAAGCGGCTCACTGTACAATGTGTGGATTGATTCTTTCAATCAATAATATTAATTCGGTTTTATAATGTCTACGTGTTATAATGCCTTGATTATTAATCAATCGAATAAATTCACGTCCATTTTCTATTCTGTTTTCGCACAATAAGTAGAACAATAAATGGATTTAGATTTTGCGCATTTGTTGCGCGTAATAATTGCAGAAAAAGCGTTACATCTTGATTGGAATCCCAAGTAATTCAATTCTTCAGACAAAGCTAACATAAATATCAAGTATAACTATTCAAAAATTGTATTAAATTTCTATCAAGGAAGTTCTGAGGGAAGAATTGAGACGTACCTGCGGCTGCTTCCAATTACAAATAGGCGCGGAAATCTAGAAGAAAGAAGTATTGGTAAATAGACTATCATTTTTTTAATTCGAAGATTATATATATATATATATATATATATATATATATATCGAATTATAAAAAATGCTAATAGGTATATTTGATTAAATAATAATTGGTATTATTATATATATATAATTATTATTTTACTATTAAAATTAGTTATTACTAAATATTTTCTGCATATTATACAATTACATATTATTATTATATTCTTTTTCTTAATTGATTATCATAATTGTTAGATTTAATTATAAACAATGACTACTAAGTTGTATACCAATGCGGAGATGCAAGTGACAGAAGTTTGCTATTAGCAGCGTTTTGTAAAAATTGAGCGCACCTGCTTCTCCATGTTTGATGTTTCGCGGTTAACTCGCGGCGCGCGTCCTTTAATCAGAAAAGTCAAGGCCTCGTAAGCGAACCACTTGGGCTTGACGACGTTGCCAGAATTCAAATCGGCCTTGAGCCGTCTCTTCGCGTATGCTTTGTGAACCGACATGAAATGAGTTTTCAGGCTCTTCAGTTTTCTCTCCACCGTCATCACATCGTAGCCCACCTGTATGTAACATGCCATCCGCGATAAGGCGTTTGTGTCTCTTCCTGAATTGTAAAGTAAAAGATACCCCTTGTCCACAACCTTACTTTAATTCCTAAGCCTTAAGAAATTGACCAACCACAGTTGATTATTTTTAAAATAATCGACTGTTGTTGATCAATTTATTACGGCTTAAAGATTAAAGCAAAGTTGTGGACAAGGGGATAGAAGAGAGAGAGAGAGAGAAGACATTCTTCAATGACGTTATAATTCGGTCGTCACGTGTTTATGCGTGAATTATGCACGGCCAACGTGATAAGCGAATAATAAACCTTCACGTGCGCTCGCGCACGCACGTGCAAGTGCATTTTCAGTGAAGTAAGATTACTTCGCGTTTTAGACCGCAATAATCGTTCTCGTGCGCTTGGTGCACGTCATTGCGCAAGATCTTGTGCAAATGTGTTGGACGTGCCGTCGCGCCCGTGTGGTCTGGAATACACTCCCAAGATACGCAAGTATTTTTCGCTGCGGCCAAGTGTTTCTGGCATAGCGCGCGCAAACGTATATTACGGATCGTGTCATGAACAAAATACGAAAACACGAAGAAGCTGAAGAATTGCTTCTTTCTACATAAGAAATTATCGATACGTCGTCAGTGGTTAGTGTATAGAATTGTAATTATTTCAATTAGGCTTCGGAAAGTTACTATTTTTGACAGGTAACGAGTTACTTTTCCCACATTTTTGGAAAAGTAAGACAAAAGTATTTATATATGCCCGAACATGTACATAATACTAAAAATTTTGATTGTTTTAGACTTTAAAACGTTTTAATCTCTAAATACGGATGTTTAAACTTTTAACATAGAATATATATATATACATATATATATATATATATTTATATATATATTATTATTATTATTATATTATATATTATTATTATTATTATTATTATATATTATTATTATTTTATTATTATTATATATATATATTGAAAGTTTAAATATATTGATATTTAACACGTTAAACGCCAAGCCTATTTTGCTTGATGTTCCGTTCACGCTCTACCGTCAAGTAAACAGAGCCGCGCGTAATGACCGGCGTGGCGTTTAACGTTTTAAAAAACAAAAACAATAAGAATATCCAGAATTACAGGTACTTGTCCGGGCATTGGTACTTTAACCTTAACGATAAGTGAGTTTTTATTCTTTAAAACAGTGGCTTGTTGTAGTTATCATTACTTAAGAAATAATTTGTTGCTATTTCTAGTTACGTTCTCTTTACTAAGTTTTCAAATCGTATCCTTTTCTTTCTTTTTTAACCACTTACTACCGTCTATTTCATGTACGTGTATTCCACATGCGCAAATTAACGATAAAAATAATTATTATATTCGTTGTAGCCAGATAACGTTTAACTTTTCGTTATCGTATATATCCGTTTGTCTAAACCGTATTTGTATGAAACAAGGCAGACATAGAAGCTATAACGCTGTTGGTTTCGTTGCATTCTAGTTGCACAATATCTTTCATGTGTACTTCATGCAATGTCTTCTATACGCTCAATGACATTATTATTATTGTTGTTATTATTATTATTATTGTTAATATTAATATTATTGTTATCATCATCATCATCATCATCATCATCATCATTATCATAATTATCATTATAATCATCATTATTACAGATTGATCTAAATAAGGAAAATAAAAATGCACAGCTTTGCTAATAAACTTTTTTCACATTCGTCCAATAAATTATTATTATTATTATTATTACCATTATCCCATTATCCATCGTTATTATTATCTCCAGATTGATTTAAAAATAAAAAAAAAATAAGGATGCGCAGAGTTTCTCTGGCAGAGTTATATACATATAAACACGAGAATTTGCTGATCTCACCTCGTCGGCGATATCCTTCCACGCGTTGATTCTTTTGTGCCGGTCAGTGTACTCGGGTGCGGTGTGATCCCAGAGGAATCTTCTCGAACGGTACGCGCTGATGAGGCTCAATATTACGTCCTGCTTCCACTGCGCCATGACCTGCTTCGATCCGCACTGTGCCACGTCCAACTACTGACGCTACACTCCGGCCACTGCTCGCAGACTTGCGCCAGCGATTGCCTCGGTGTGTGCCCAACATTTGCACCAGACAGTGCAAGATGGCGTTGTGGGTACCGTAACGTGCCGGTCGAAGTCACGGTTAACTTGTCATTTACCGTCGAGCACCGTGATCGACGATGACCATAAAATATGTTTACATTGAAATGTGAATCCTCGACGCAGAAAAGAAGCTTACGTATTTTTGGTTAACTTTAAATTTTCTTCTCTTTCTTTTCTTTCGCTTTTTAATATAATTTATATAACAAGATGTTTTTAAGATATAACACACATCTTGCAGTTTCAAGAAACCTACATAATGCTTGTATAAAAGCTCTAATGAGACATTTCTTCGAGAGCAAACGATTCCTTCGTGTTTGTCTCGATTCCGTTGAATTTGACACTTGACATCGGATAACGCAAGGATGTTACGATTCTTTTGCAAAATTGCAAAGCATCAGAAAGTAGCGCAGTATTAAAATATCGCTTTCGCAATAACTTGAACAGATATGGCTCGCGCCAGTCGATTGAAACCCGACGAGCTACAACTTCTCGCGTCTGATTGATCGAACTGCAACTTTGCTCGAAGGCATGTCGCGCGACGTGCATGAATGAGAATCGAAATTGGTTGACGCGGTGGTTATCGCTGCGATAACCGATTGCGTAACGGCTTAATTACGTGAGAAGGAAGTGGAAAGAGAAGAGGAGGAACAAATGGAGCAAACACGTCGGCCAGGCGCCGGCGATATTCGGCGTCTCGCGGATTCCTCTCGTGAAACATCTGCGCGCCCTGACATCACGCGCGGGTTGTCACGTTATGTCTAATTGGCGGGTTACGTCGCAACGTGAGGCCGCGTATATAACGTGGCCGCAGTTGTTTTTAGTCGCGGGCGGGCGCACTTTTCGATCGGAAGCGAAAATAGGAATGCCGTCATAGGCGCGACGTTGCGTACACGCGATGCGCCGCGCGGAATTAACGTTAATCGAATCGAGCAGAACCCGCGCGATCCACCGCGGATGGGGCTGCCTCTCCTCCTGCTCTTCCTCCTCTCCTCCAACCGTCGCCCCCAACCGGACGTATTATTGTCCGTGAGTCACTGCATTTAGGATTCCGGAGTACGGCTGAAGTGCTAACGCCCGAGCACTCGAGCACTCGACGTTCCAAATACTTGCAGTCGCGAATGACGCAACGGGTCCACGTGCCGCGTTCGCGATTTAATTTTAATACACCGCACGCGCGCGCGATGACGCTCGCGCGACCGCGAATCCTCGTCGCCGGACCTCTCCGACGTGTGACGTTTGCCTTTGGGAATTCGCCCAATCTTCAAGCGGACGCTCCCTCGCTCGCCAAGTTCACCGATTTTCCGTTAACCCTTTGAGTCCTGACTCCTAACTTTGGATATTTATACTACAATTTTAAATGGAATCGTAAGTCTCGTAACTTGCTTGCGTAAAATCCGTAAGAACTTTCCACACAACGTTTAAAATCGAGACGTAAGACGTTTGCAAGACGTCTCTTTTGTTGGAAAATAAGCATTCTCTAAGATATTTTTAACACATCTTATATCTCAATTATAGACGTTGTGTTGTTATTAGTAGATTTACAATTCTATACGTACCATATGTTGTATAATCACTTGTAAATATCGTAAATTATGCGAAATCGTAAATATTTACGAGTGATCGTATGACACGTATAGAATTGTAGATCTATTAAGTTCTTACAAATTAAGTTCTTACAAATTTTAGCAAGTTACCAATCTTACGATTCTGTTTAATATTAATGTTATATTTTAACAGAGGGAAATGTTAGACAATAGTGTGTCCGAAAAGTTGAAAATCTTTTATTTCTCAGATATTTTTGAATTTATTCTAAACAAGTGTAGACATTGAAATTATTATATATTGAGATTTCTTGATTCTTTTTTGACATTCTACGATTTTTTTCGATACTCCATTACTACGTGTTTTTGAAGACTTCTTCTCGCTAATGATACCTTACTAAGATATTGATTACCACGAGGCGTATTTATTTGCCTATGTATTTGCAGGTGGCGGTTTGTTCGTAGACATGATGAAAAGAGCCACGCAGACCAAACAATTTGCTGAGTTGGATCACGCGGTGAGAACAAAGGTCGAGCCCTACTTATACAACAAGGGAAAGGGCAAGTGGATACCTATAGATAAACTGGTTCTGCTACGAAATAAGGACCGTCCGCGGCATAGAATGGTACAACGATCTTCTCCCCTGTCTCGCAACTTCTCGTTTGTTCCTATCACGAAATCAGCATTCTTGATAAGTTCTTTTGTATCGCACAGCTGCCACCTTTAAAAGCCATGGAAAATCCGGCGGATTATGACATAGATAAAGATATGGGCGACGAAGACGTTGACGAGACTAAAATAGGTAACACGAGCATCATAAAATTCTTTAAGGCAGTTGTGTTGTGACTGAAGTTTTTTAGAATTGGAATCTTAAACTTGACCTGCAATGTGTTATTTGTTTCTTGCTTCTTTCTCTTTATTTCTTTCTAACACAAACCTTAAGCTTTAAGCTAGAAAAAGACAGAAGACAAGAAACAGAACGCAAAGAGCATATTGTAGATCAGGCTTTTAGTTAGAGTTTTAGAGTCTTAGAGTTAGAATTAATCTTAAAGTTAACTCTAGATTTTTAAAGTTAGATAACTGGCCTTCTAAATTATACACTTCATCAATCTTTTTATTATTACTGAATATGAATGATATCTAACGATAAAAATAAGAAGTAAATAAGCAATGAGAAATATGAACAAAACATTTTCAAATTAAATTAAATTAAATTAAATTAAATTAAATTAAATTTGCGGGCATGCTACACAAACATTAAAAAGAAATTGATTGATGAGATGAGGATTAGGAGACTTGTACAATTTCGGCAACTCTCCCCTAAATTGAAATATTACCTAACCTTGTTTGCAATTAAAAGAAATTCTATAAAATTATTTAATAAAAACATTTTTATAGAAAAAGAACTTTGTTTAATAAGTAATAAATTTACGAAGAACTCCTTGATGTCTTGTCGCTGAAAGTTCGATTAGATTTTTTAAAAACTCAATTATCTTAATTATTATCTCCGAATTCTTATTCATGAGATTACGTACGATGCGATCATTCAATCGACGAGTAAAGTATTGCAATTTCCTGGCAGACAAAAGCAAGTACAGATTGGTCTGCTGGAGCCTGAGTGAGAGAGGCGCTGTTGGTGAGACTATCTTGCATCTGTGCATGTTAAACGCCACTGCTCTGCATGCGGATCTGGCAAAACGATTGCTGCGCTTTTATCCGAACCTCATAAACGACATTTACATAAGCGACGAATATTACGGTATGACTTTGCAGTCGTCACGAGCATGCGTCTTTCGACGATTATTTGACTTGACTTTATGACGACCCGCATATGCAATTCAGGAGAAAACGTACTACACATCGCGATCGTAAACGAGGACCCGGCGATGGTGAAGTATCTCCTCGACAGCGGTGCGGACGTTCACGAGAGATGTTTTGGTAACTTCATGTGTCCAGAGGATCAGAAAGCATCGAGATTAGACAGCCTGGATCACGAGTGGGTAACCGTATCACCGGAAACTAATTACAGCGGGTAAGGTAAAAATGCCAATACCTGGACACCTTCTTAATTCTGGACATTCTCATTGTTTTGGCCTTTAAATACGAATATTAAACTTTCAGCATAGACACACACACACATACACATATGTATATGCATATATATGTATATGCAATAGATATGTATGTATATGTAATAGATTGTCACGTTATCTTGATAAAATTTACTCCACACATTATCCCAGATAGCCAAACCTGCGCGAGCGGATTTTGTGCAGGGTCTATCAGTAGTGTCCGTAGACAGAATGGCAACAGATTGAACACAGATGTTGCACATTGCAACATTTGTTCTGACGACAGATTGGTGACAGACTGCGCGCAGAGCCTACTGACAGACTCTGACAACAGACTGGCGACAGATTGCGCGCAGATTCTGTTCCGTAGATAGGCTATTTAATTCTATCAAGGGCCATATGTACGCTATTAAATGGGGTAGTTTCACATGCACACCATGTAAAACTCTGAGAGGAGTCAAGATAATTATATTGTGCAATAATTGTATACATATACACAATAAAAAACAATTTTTACTTTTTAAAATTGTATCATACATTTTTCATAAAAAAGCAACAATAACATAGAAATAACGAGTACACACAGTATTTTATTAGCATAATGGAAAAATGTCATTATCTGCTGTTTTATTGCAGTGATTTTCTATACAGTCCCTGGTAGAAAATTAATTTCGAATTATCATGCCGGTCTCTCTTACATTATTTATACGCTAAACGGTCCCGTCTATATTTTGGTTTAAAAAGCGAACAAACTCTAAGATTTTTCTTCCTTAAACTTTAAGTGGACGATATAAAGCACTTTTTATCAAGTGAGGAATTGGCGTAGTGTCTAAAGGCCAAATCACACTAGCAATTGACGATTGACGATTGAAGATTAGATTTTGACGAATCAACGAGCTTCAACCTTGGCTTACTTTGTTCCAATTGGTCAAGTTCCAATCTTCAATCGTCAATCATCAATCGCCAATCGCTAGAGTGATTTGGCCTTAAGGCGACGGACGATTATCCAAAAGATATTTTCGGTTCAAGTTCGAATCTCACCAGAGAAAATCTTAAAAATTATGAAAAAATAATATAGAAAAATTTTTTTTTCACTGTATTTTACGAGTATTTATGAGTATTTATGAGCGCACATTCTATGAGTAATTATGAAAAATTATGAGAAAATTTTCTACCAAAGATTTAATTGAAGAACGACAGGATCTGCGCGCAATCTGCCGTTACTCTGCTGTCACATATATGTCTACAAACTCTGCGTGCATACTGCTGTAAGTCTGCTGTCAGAGCCTATCGGCAGGTTCTGGCGACAATCTAACAGCCTATTGGCTCGATAGATGACTATGGATTTGACGACAGTGTCTGCTCGAATCTGATGTCACTCTGATGTCAGTCTGCGCTCAATTTGCTTACTGGATAATAAGTTGTCACGTTATCTTGATAAAATTTACTTTACACATTATATTGTCAGCTGTTGTAATCGATTACTGCATAACTTTATCAGCGTATGTTCGTAATCGTGATCAGTTTAAGCGATGCCAGCTTCACGTGCGAAAAAGTGTGCAAACCGTCTCATAGTCGGAAATGTTGTCTGGTTTTCTTGTAAGTTTAGCAACCTATCCTTCTTGTCTAATGAGAGAGCTTTTTTCATTGGAAAATAAATTTTCCCAATGTACATATATTCTATGTTCTATTATAAAAATTGAGATATTCATGTTTTTAGAGATTAAAATAATAGGAATGTCTATAATCAGATCAAGTTTACATTCTGAGAAAAAAAATATTCAAGAAATAAAAAAGATTTATTCGGTGAAGTATTAACGACATATTTGCTTATATTAGTATAAAATATTTTTCAAATAAGAAAATATATATTTTCTTACAACCTTAGTTTTTCACGAAAGTGATTGTTTATTCTATTTAAATACAAAAATTCAGAAATATGCAGATAAATATGTTATTAATACTCACCAAAATAAATAATTTTTATTTTTTATATATTTTTTCTTATTTGAGTACGTTGCGACGCCTTTGGGAGATTACTCCATTCCGATTTATTCGATCCGCTCTGTGCGATTGAGATCCTTTTTGCGCGATTACGTAAAATTAAACGCAACCAATTACTAAATCTCCCGATGTTAATCATAAATGAGCCCATCCATCAGAGATCTCAATGAACCTTGTCAGCCGTAATTCCGTTGATCGCTCTGTCAGGAACATAATACAGTTCTAAGCGAGCTAATTCGATGAAATTCTCCGGGCTGTTCTGTTTTATAATCATAGATACGTGTACTGGGGAGAGTATCCGTTGAGCTTCGCCGCGTGTTTGGGCCAGGAGGAGTGTTACAGGCTTATGCTCGCCAGAGGCGCGGATCCTGACAAGCAGGACACGAACGGCAACACGGTCTTGCATATGCTAGTGATATACGAAAAAATAGTAAGTGATAATACATGCTGTTTCAGTTTTTACTTATTATTCTCCAAGTTTCTTGGAGTTAAATTTCAAAACGTATGAAAGTTCGCTCGAAGTGAAAACATCGTCATTATTAGTGATTGTTTTACTCGAGCTTAAAGTGAATTCAAATTCCGTAAGAGTGAGTCGACTAGACTAAATTTGTTTCAGTAAAAGCGGGAATATAACAAATTTATTCTTTAATTCCGGGTAAAAATATTCACTCGACGATTCAAAGCAAGGAATTCACTCTATGAATAAAAAATCTCTCTCTATACTCTAATCTCACACTATATGAATGAAAAATTACTCGAACTGGAATGACTCAGCTGTCATTTTACATTTCGAAAATTCTTCCTCATTCTAAGAAATGCAGAGATCAGAAAACATCTTTTCTAATAACTCGACGTAATCAGCAATACTTGTTGGAATGACGGGATTTATTTCGAAGATTCCATGTATGTAGATTAATAAACAATATTGATAAATAACATTGGGAACATTACATCTGTAGTTTTTTCGCGTCCGCGATCTGCAATTTAATTTCGCAGGCTACATTCGACATGGCGTATGAGGTGGGAGCTTCGCTTGCCATAAGAAACGCTCAACACCTGACTCCGCTGACTTTGGCAGCAAAGTTGGCTAGAATCGAGATGTTTTTTCATATTTTGAACATCGAGAGAGAAATATACTGGCAGATCGGTAGCATAACTTGCGCAGCTTATCCGCTGTCGCAAATAGACACGATCGACCTTAATACGGGGACTATCAACAAAAACTCCGCCCTAAATTTAGTTGTTTTTGGGGTAAGTAAGCTCGTTTCATCGATTACTTATCGACAAGCCATTCGATAGTCAGAGATTTTACGGTGATTTCAGGAAAAAGATGAGCATTTAGAGTTGTTGGACGGTACGTTAGTTGATCTTCTGAACGCCAAGTGGAACACTTTCGTGAAGTCTCGGTACGCGCAAAAAAACATGATTTTTTACTTCAACTTTTTCTTGTTCTTATAAAGAATGATAAATATATAGAAAAGGATAGCTATATTTGCACCGAATAAGTGTGGGATGTAGCTATGCATGAATTACATATTACTGCAAATCCGAATGTATTATTTTTAAACACAAGAGTGTAATTAGCTGAATTTCTTTTTACATATTTAACACGCTCAAACATATAAAATTCTAATTTATACATCATAAACGTGTTAAATGACGTGATTTAAAATCGCAAGAGATGTGTGAGAAGAGTTTTAGCCAACTACACGCTTACGCGTTTAAGAATAACACACTTGGATTTGCAGTGATGACGTGAGAAAAATCGGAAACTTTTAGATTCTACCGTCAGTTCTTCCTCTTCTACTTCTACTTCGTGATATCGCTGATCAGTTTCACTCTTCGTCCTGGCCCGTCGATGCAAGAGACCGAAAACGCGAACGACACGAGGACGAATTCGTCGAACATGACGACGGTAGAGTTGGCGATTGTCAAGTCGCTCCAAAGCTCGGACTTGTCGGACTTGGTTACGAACAGCTTCGCCGCGGCTTTCACCTCGAACCTCAAGTCGTCCTTAAACGTGACGCAAGAGTCATTAGAGAAGATACAGTTGCAGGTGACGTCGAATATTACGTTGGCTCTGAGGAGCATTTTGCTTTTAACGCTGAACGACAACGAGGCCATCCTGAGTGCCCCTGACGAGGCCGCCTTTCGTACGCTGTGGTATACTAGTAATCCTCAAAACGAGTCGGACTACTTGACAGATGCGTACAACGAAAATGTCATGAGTGATGCAAACTCAACCATAGAAACGACCATCGACAGCATTGAGCTAATGAAATCGAACGATTGGTGCGTTACAATTTACCTAATTATGAGGGAAATATTGAGAGATGAAGGAGATATCGTTTGTGGAATTTAGTTGTTAATATTAATATATTAACTTCTTGAGTCCTCCGATTGTTTACTTTGAAAATTTGGTTTTATCTCGATAGAGAGATATTAGATAAATGCAAACAGGTTTCAAGAATTTGATTTGTAAAATAGTTTCAGTAGGAAAAAATGATGAAATTTTCTTATGAAAGATTAGATAGCTGATAAAATGAAAACGATATTGTCAAGATATAAGTGAACTATCATCAGGTAGTTCCAAAAGTGACATCAGATAGTTTCAAAACTATTATCAGTTCGCTCTATTAAAATAGATGATAAATCAATCAAAATATTTTAATTTTATGTATATGCTGTATCCTTAAGGATACGCCTGGGTTCAAAGGCTTATTATTTATTGCTTCACATAAGTTTTAGGATACACCTTCCGTATGCGATGAATAAAATTTTTGACATATGTATACCAAATTTTCATCGTCGTGAAATACTTTTTATCGCTTATGACGTCGTTTCAATTTTTCACGACAATACGTGTGTTTACTGGGTGCAGGTGGAAAGACCTCACGGAGGAATGCAGACTGATGCAACTGACAACGATAAGTGCAAAGATTCGGCTGACTGCGGAAGTAGTGATGGAGATCGCCGCGGTGCTTTACATCATGGCTGCGCTGCGGGAGGCGAGATTTTTAGGTCTCAACATGTTCGTCGAGAATTTAGTAAGATTGTTTCGTTATCAGAGCATAGATAGCTTCTTCTCGCGAAAAGACACAGGCTATAAACAGCCGCGTGGAAATGAATTCTGCGAAGCTTGTCGAACTCCTCATCCTCACGATTCGTAACTCGTGCTAATGCGAGTGTGACTTTCAGATGACGGCGCCGTCGCGCGTTATGTTCCTTTTCTCGTGCTGCATTTTACTCTCGTTTCCGTTTCTGAGATTAGCCTGCGCTGACGAAGTCGAAGACAAGCTGGCGGTCGTGGTGATGCTGACGACTGCGCCGTATTTCTTATTCTTCTGCAGAGGCTTCAAGACGGTCGGTCCGTTCGTCGTGATGATTTACAGGATGATCACGGGCGATCTCCTGAGATTCGTCTCCATTTATCTCGTTTTCGTCATGGGCTTCTCTCAAGGTAATGCCCGGCGTGAATTTCGCGGAGCGACGTTTAACCACCGGCAATTCGTTTCTCCCGACAGTTATTGCACGTCGTTCATGTTTAACGCCTTCGTCGCTCTTTTGCCGACATTCAGCGTACGACTTAACGACTTCGAAAGCTCTCTCGTTAGAAGTGAGTCCAAATCTCAGACGCACGGGAAAAAAGGATTGGCTGAGAATTACAGAAACTATTAAAATAGTCGAAATGATGGATTTATGGTGTCTTATAAAAATTGTAACGGTGTATTTCATACTCTTTATTGACGTTGAGTAAGACTAGATAGAAGAAACATCTTATCTCTTTGCAATATATATGTTTCCAGGAATTTGCTATTTCGACCACTCTGATGGAAATATGTCGTTAATCGTCGGTAGTTTTAGTGTATTAACATGAAAATATTAAAAACACAACTAAGTGTATTTTAGTTGAAAGAAATATTTCTGATCCTTATGAGTTAAATTCGGTTCTTATACGAAAAGGATATTATAGCATTTTCCTTGTTTAACTTTTTTTGTGTTTACTATGTTTTTATTGTTTTTTACTGTGTTTTTTTCTGATAGCTCAGAAATAGATTACTAGCAAGGTCTGTCTTGCCAAGAATCATAGCCAATTTCGCTAGAATTTTATTATGTTTCGCTAGAAACGTAGTCAATTTTTTAATAGCACATTTCACAGTTTCTGAAATATATAAACAATTCATATAAAATGAAATGATAATGAATCGTTGCAGAATGTTAGTCTATTCCGCAATTACAAAATCCTATAGTAATTTTTATTATAACATTCTCTTCGTGTATGTAAGAACTGGAAATTCTCCCAAGTAGCACAAGCTTTGCAAAAACGTCTTAAAGATATTTGAAAGACGTGTGAACGATGTCTAAATAAAATAGGCCATCTGTTTTGAATGTCTCCAAGCATCTCTTTATGCTGTGTGAACTATATTTTTCAACTGAAACGCATTTGTCATTGTCACATCAATTCAATTGATCTTTTCCCTCAGTATACGATCTAAGTAAAGCCCCATCGTCGATTATCGCCATTGATAATCGAAGCCAATGAGATGTAACGACACGACGTAATGAACGAGAAATGTTATCGCGCGATGGCCACGATGAACACACACACATACACAGCCGCGATCATCGATTTCTTTGCACCGTCGGTGCCTTATTCTATTGACTTTAACAATTATTAATTAGCCGCGGGAATAATGGCATCGCTGACGCCATGAAAAATTTCCATCCAACCGCATCCGTTTCTAAAACTACGCGTTTCTCTTGACTGTTGATTAATTTAGTAGGCGGGAATGTATCCACAGTCATAATGTAACATTTTGACAGTTTGACGTCTCGCATACACGTTTGTAAAAAAAAAGAGTTATCCGCTTCCATGTGACGCGTAATCAGTAGAAGAGTTATGAGAGAGGAATAAATAAGGGATTATACAATTAATTTTGTGCATTATTGCAATAAGTTATGATCAGAACTGATTTTAATCCGTAGCCAAATTTGTGCGCGTCAATAAGAGTTATTTGTTCATATACGACTTCATAGGGGGAGGTAGACAAACTACGGATTAAGATCAGTTCATATAACTAATTGCAATTATTAGCTTTACAATTAATTGTATAATCTCTTACTCACCTCCATCTTAAAACTTTTACTTTTCTTCTATACTGATCACGCGTCGCATGAGATCTGTTCGTTTTCAAAAAACTTCTGCACTAATGCAATAAGTTAGAATGAAAAAAAAGTATACTTTCTTTCACTTTAACTTACTGAACTCTAACTTACTGAATAATGCGCTTCTAATAGTTCAGAGGTCTTCAAAAATAAACAGACCAATGGAAGCGGATAACTTCTTTTTATGAGCGTATATCAAACTGTCAAAATGTCACATCGATGCACTTCCGATTAATCAGTAGTCATGAGAGAACCGCTAGAAATGAATGTGGCTGGTTGTAAATTCTTAGCGAGTATCGATTTACTGAATGGTGTAACATCCATGCGTTCGAGTGTACGTCATATGACCTAATCGACGGTTTTACTACGCTACTGCAACCCGACATTGACATACATCGTGGTAACGAAGGTTTCCTCTGACAACGGCGAGAAATGCCGCAGAAGGAGACGCGCGACCACACGAGAAGGTCGCGGGACACGTTAAATAGCGCGACATGTTATTATGCAACCCAGCGACGACACCGCGCGCACCGTGTGTCATCGCGTCTCGCTTTTCGCCGTCGTCGATGCAGTGTCACCGACGGCGACTTGAATGGAGTGTCCGTTTGTTCATACACTTCCTCTGTCAAGGGGAGTTCGCGCTATATACAAAATTATCCGTATTGTTTCACGGGCCCAGCATCGGCTCGGTATTCATGGCCAAGAGTCGAATAATTTCGTCCCGGTATTGGTTAACAAGCTTTAGAATGGGTCATTATAGAACACAGATGTATACCGATGCAGGCTGTGAAATAGGTCCCAGCCTTCTAATGTAGGCTTCGACACAGACCCAGTATTGGACATAATATTGACTGCAGGTAGTGCCGAGACCCAGCAGAAGCTTAGAAAACACGCCCTAACGACGTTTTAAGACTGATCTACAATGTGCTTTTCGCTTCCTGTTTCTTACTCTTTACTTTTTTCTAACTAAAGGCTTAAGATTTAAATCAGAAAGACATAAAAAAAAAGGAATAGGAAACAAAGAACATGGCAGATCAAGTTCTACAGATATCTAAAAGATACTTGTTCTTTTAGGCGTTTTTAAGATGTATTTTAGAAGCTTTTGTTATTTAGGCATTATTTAATCGCAATGATCGTTGAACAACATTAGTGTAGGATTCTTTCAAAAAATACATTGCTATAATAATGTGAAAATATTTTCTGATACAGTAAGTATCTTGATATGCAGAAAGTTGTACAGTAATAATTTTAACATAAGTACATAGTACTTTTATGTATGTGCATTGATCATCTGCGAATCTAGTAGTTATATCAACAAGATTTTCACGTGATAAAATTTATGTTTCTCCATGTTAACTGCAAAATTGCCTTTAGATACCAAGGCGGTTATATAATACTTTAATAATGTTATATAATAATGTTATATACTATTGCTAATATTAGTCCGCCCGTTATTGCCAATATTGTAGATTAGCATTGACAATTAATTACAGCATGGAGTTACATTCCTGTATCAAAACTGCATTGGCGCAACGCTAGCGGCTAATATTGTCACGACGACGAATACACACACACACACACACACACGATATTGCCCCAATATATGTATATATGTTGACCCGTTTCCGCGAGATATATTTCCCGTTTCCGAGAATTGTTCGATACACTCGCCCGTCACGGTCGACAACTAATCAACGTCGACGTTAATTTAACATCATGATTTCTATAGAAGCTTCGGAATGTTATGTGTATTTCGCAAATTAAGGTAAAAGTATCAATTCTTGGAAACATATATAATTCTGGACATTCTAATCTAATATTAAAACTTTCAGCAAGGTTTAAATATTCGTATTTAAAGACCAAAATAATAAAAATATCCAGGATTAGGTACGTGTTCGGGTATTGCTACTTTTACCTCGTATTGCACCTTCAACAGTACACTTAAACATATCAGACGTCAGATCAATAATGGTACAGTCGGTGTGTGTGTGTGTGTGTGTGCGCGTGTGGATGAAACTTTACAACATTTTTATCTCGATGAGTTTCGCTCTTTTCACTTAAAGAGAATTTGTTTTTTTAATAATTTTCCAAAGATAGATTTTCTTGTTGAATACGGGATACGTTGCGAAACTCATCGAGATAAAAGCGTTGTAACGTTTGATTCACTGGATGTACACGAAAAGAATATTACACTCTTTTTGTAAAATTCCTTTGATTTTTATCATATTTTCTAATAGTGCAAGAGAACAGATTTAGTAAAGTTTATCTTGCTAAAGAATATAAAATTAATTTCATGATAGTAAATCTCAGTTTCTGAAACGTAAATGAAATAGAAAAGTAATAGATCAAGGCAAAATGTCGATGTGTTCCCCGGCTGTAAGATTCTACAGTAATTTTTACTATAAGATTCTCTCTCCTTACGTGTCGGTTCTACTGATGTTAAAAATTTGTTCGCAGCGTACTACATTATATTTCTGTCGTTTGACAACCCGAACACTCCGGAAGGCGTCGACGACTCTGTGTCGAATCCGATGCCGTCGCCGATGGAAAGCGTGATGGCGATGTTCCTGATGAGCATGACGAACTTCGGCGATTACTACGGCGCGTTCGAGAGAACCGAGCACGAGTTTGAGGCTAAGGTACTTTTCGTTCTCGTCGCTGCCGTGCGTGTCCGGCTCTTATATCCACAGTCGATTTAACCGGCAGAATCGGCACACACGATGTCGCCTTGTTTAAGCTTCGTTTATTGTATCAATCGTAATCGCGACGCTAACTGCGACGCTCAATGGGACGCGTCTCAACGGCGACGAAGTGCTCAACTAATTTGCACAAACGTACGAATGATTCACTCGCGTGTATACGCAATTCCTACGAAAGATGCGTTAAGTGCGCCAGACGTCGTTGGTACGCCATTACAATAATAATTATTACCGTTGCAGCTGCTGTTTGTGTTGTACATGGTGATCGTGGCGATCCTGCTCGTAAACATGCTAATTGCTATGATGGGCAACACTTACCAGAAGATTGCCGAGACCAGAAATGAATGGCAAAGACAAGTACGTTATTAGTTAGCGCGTTCCACTTGAACGCGACTACTACGCAGCTTCGCTGTTGAATTTGTGTGACATGCAATTCGCGTTTATCTGCGTTTCAGTGGGCGCGCATAGTTTTGGTCGTGGAGAGAGGAGTCAGTCCCGCCGAAAGACTGAAGAAGCTGATGGACTATTCTCAGCCGATGGCGGGTGATCGCCGAGCGCTGGTTCTTCGATTAAATCAAAGTGTACGTGTGAAAATCGTATATATGCATAATAAATAAGCTTCGGAGCAGTATGATCAATTATTCACGTCGGTGATATTGATTTCAGGAGGAGGACAAGGAGGATATGAAGGAGATACTCGAGATGAAGAGAACCCACGACAGACTGCTGAAGAAAAGACTAGGAAGAATGTCAAAGGAGAAAGTTCTAGCCGAAACCGAAGCTATTATCGCCAGAAATTAAATAAAGCAATAAATTCTGGCATATGTCTGTATTGTTTTATTTCTACACTAGTACAAAAAATATCTAAAAATGAAAGAATATTTATATAGAATGGATGCTAATAACGTTCACTTGCACTGATATATTCTAATAGCGCAACTCATTGGGATAATATAGCTACAAATTGGGCTCCAGTATATCCAATATTAGCCCAGTATTGCAAAGTACATATTTTGCATTTTATAGCTGCATTTGCATTTTAATATAGAATTCCAAATATTGGCAATTTATTTGTTACCAATATTGGTTACATATTGAGTTACATTGGCCCAATGTACTTCTAATATATTTCAATATTGGTACAATCATATTGTACAATACTAGTAATTTATTCATAAAACTCATCACTCTCATTTTATTCATAACTAATATTGGCTATATATTGACTATATTGGCCAAATGTATGCCAACCAATATTGGTTAACGTAACGCTAATGAACCGTATTAGAATGCATATTCTTACACGGAAGAAAAAATTCTTTCAAGCGAGAAAATACATTTTCTTAAAAGCTTTTCATGAAAAATTAAGTTATACTATTTAAATGAAAGAATTTAGAATTTTAAGTCAAATATGTGTCATTAGCATTCACCAAATAGATATTTCTGATTTTTTAGATATTCTTTCCCTCGCAGTGTACAATCGTTGCTCTGCGTGTTCGGGTTTTAGCTATCAAATGTGTTGGAACTGCAGACTTTCGTACGAGTTGTTGATAAAAGAGTTACGATAAAATAGAGAGAAAAACATTGCCAATCGATAGAGTATCGAGCGAGTACTAGAGTTTCCATAGTAACAAACACTTTTACCGCCATGTCGGACTTTATTGTAAGGGCTCGAATGTAGCGCCCCGCTGAAAAGGAGAAGACACACGTACAATGACGATGAGCGCGTTGAGAGCTCCGATAGATTATAAGAGTTTGGAAGAAGAACTTCATGCGGCTCTCGCGGCCGACGAATTATACAAATTACAGAACGACGCCAAACTCCGGGCGATCGAGCAAGGTGTGCCGACATACGAGCACTTCAGGCAGATGGTAATTGATCCGGATTATCTTCTTAACGTAATTTTCTGACCAGAAGACTCGAAAATGCAATATAAGATTACGAGATCACAGTTATATGTAACTTACATAGCACAAGTAGCCAAAATACATTCTAAGAACGTTTCAGAGATCTCTATCCAGACATCTCTGGAATATTTATAGGATATATTTCAACATTTGTGCTGGGAATGGGAATGTTTCACATGCAAGGGAGAAAAAACGTGTCGTCTTTCCGATAAATCTTATCATTCCTGATACAATTTTGTAAGATATTTTGAGTAGGTGAACGCTGCACATCTGAAGCCTCTGGATCGTAATGACATGAAACCCAAGATCGGCGTGCAGTGGAATCCTGTGACCAATCGCACCAAATATCCGACCGTGTCTGCAACTTCGAAAACATCGAAATTCGTTAGAGATGACAAGCATAAAAGTGTGAGACCTTCGGAACCGTGCGAGGACTTCTTGCGATGTTGGAGGACGATTGAGGACCACTCTGAGAGATTTGCTTATATATGGAATTTGAGGTAATACGATAATAATAATAATAATAATAATAATAATAATAATAATAATAAATAACGATAATACGATAATAATAAAATAAAAAAACGAGATATATGCATGATTATTCCGAAGCTGTACCCCAAGTACGATAGAGAGTCACGATGGTGTCAAGATGACGACAAGGCGATTAAATTAAGATCGAGCAGTGAGCTCTTGCAGTCACTTTCTCGTCCTTTTGACGTCATCGTTATTTACTGTTCTGCACTGGATGTTAGCAACTTGCTGTTATGACAGGCACGTCCTGCAGACTCGTATTTTTCGAGTGGAGATACCTGCATTCTTCTTTGGTGACTTCGTGAGTGTGTGTTTGGACTGCGTATCAAAGATGGATGATACGACACAGATTACAGAACTTCTCCGTATACTGAGCACGTGTAGTAGATTCGATCTGACGATATGTTTCATGACGAAGGATGAGCAAGTTACGTGCAAGCAACTCTTTAAACAATTGCGACTTAAAGAAAGATCTCAAGATAAATCAGTGGAAGATACGCTTGTGTTGTTAGCCGCGAAATATCAAATTGATCTCGATTAATGTAACATGAAAATACTTTCCGCGGAATGAACGATACATAATTAAATAAACCGTATAATAAAAGTAGATGATCAATAAATAATAAAGCAGTAATACGCACCAGAAAATCGAAATATATGATTGAATTACGATTAGAAAATCCTAACAATCTACCCAAATAGCACAGAGAATTAAAAAAGAATTCAAAAAGAATTTAGTCGTATGTCACCAATTCTGAGTTTATTTTCAGATGTAAAAAGAATTCCTCAGAATTCAGTTCAGTGAAAAGAATTCTTTTTGTATCTAAAAATAAACTCAAAATTGATAACATACGACTGAATTATTTTTGAATTCTCTGTGCTATCTAGGCAATTACATTGCGTGTAAGTCTGCCATGTCGGCCTGTGTATTCAAACCAATTGGAACAATAAAATATAATTGAAACGATAAAAATGCTGTGACTAAAATCAGATACACGATCGCAAAGGTTAATAGTACTTCTTTCGTAGAAAATTATACCCCGAGGAGCCCGGAGGTAATTGAATAAAGATGACATTATCGATCATTTTTAACTATCTGATATAAATATTTGAACATTCAGTGTGCAATGAAGTTGTGCAATGAAAAGTATTAATGTTATAATTTTCAGCTATCTTGATATGTTATCGTTATGCATACAGACCTACAATAAAGTGTATCAAACATTTTTACGAAAAACTGCATTCCTTTAATTTTCATGTATGCTGACTTAATGCATTTTTATCGGCAAATTTACCGACAGGAGGTTTCTAAATAACGCAATTTTCTAGCACGCAAAGTCTCGCAAGATCATCGGTTTATAGTGAATGCTTTCCAATTGCTTAACACATTTTGACACATATGTACACAGAAATGCACAAAGTGTAACGTTGTGCACGATTCAATTGGAACAAAGTGTGTACTAATATGTACATACTATGTCGGATAGGATTAGGATTATTTTTCAATTGTGCTTATATTTTGATATTTTTTAATAATAAATAATAAAATCTAAATAATAAAAAAGATATTATCCACTTCCCGTCGCAAATGCCAGTCTTTTTTCAAGCCGCTACGCTTATTAACTTTAATTGTCACTAGAAAACACTAGTTTATACAGCCAACTAGTAGCCCTCGAGCTGAGTACGGATGTATAATGTTGTGTCGACGATTACGACAATTGGAATGCAACCGTGTGTATGAAAGTGTCTAGGGATATTGCAATTGGAAAGCACCCAGTATTACCTCGGTGACACGGCTCATTCGAAATAGCGCGCCAAATAGGTCGAAGTCGATTCTAGCAGACGGCGCGGTCACGTGACAGGCGAGCGGGCAACATGGTGCGCAGCGTTCTGTACTGCCGCATGCGACATTGTAGATGTGATTGTCTCGCGTGTTGACAAAGCCCACATTGACCTATCCTGACCTCTCGCGTGGCCGGGAACGCGGCCGACGCCGCGGGAATAAATCGCACCGATGATCTCTCACGTTTCTCGTCGTCCCATCGTTTGCCGCGCACGAAACCGCCATGATGCACACACATACGTGCAGCGTGCATGCGTGTGGACGTGCTCGCGTGTAAACAAGCCGAGGCACTTGACGTCGTGTGACGCTGAGCAAGCAGCAGCAGCCGCTCGTCGGTTGGTCAGGTGTGAATCGCTCCAACCTTCTCGGCGGAGTGGACGACGGTCGCGGCGGTTCACACGATCGTCTCGCACTCGGCCGGCCGAATCGTCGCGGTCAGATAAGATATGCGCCGAGGACGTGGTGTCGCGACGTTGCAACGCGCGAGGCGGCGATTAATCCGCATCAGTTAACCGCCTGTCAGTCGCCGTCGCGGCGAAATCGCGCGCGCGGATACCGGAGGAGGCGGAGGGACGCGCGCGGTGCTCGTTCCTTACCTCGTTCTTCTCCCGAGCGGGTAGATAGTGCGACGGGCGAGGAGGAGAGATCGGGGATATAGCGAGAGAGGAACGCGCTCCGACTCTCGTGTCAACATGAGGCTGGAGGAGATGCCGTTGCGACTCAACTCCGACGAGCGGGACTTTGAAATGGACGACGAGGAGACCGACTACCTGCTGCAGCCGTCCGAGGACAGCATCAGGCTCCTGACGTCGAGGCGACGGCGCATTAGCGATTGCTCCAAGTACCTGAGGAACTGCCTCTGCGGGTGAGTCGCGTCACCGCCGTCGTCAGTCTACTGGGTGTCCCGGAGCTGCCGAGCTGACGCCGCTGCTACTTGACGCGCTGCCACTTGAGGCTGCTTTCTAAGAATTGGTTTTATTGTCTAATTATCGGTTGCCGATGTAGCGGTTCGAGAAGACGCGCGAGGTATCTTTTTGTCGGTGTCGTCCGCATCTGACACTGCACTTGTGCAGGGCGTCGAGACGGAACGCAATATCTACGGGTGATGCTAATGCGGTCGATCGAAAGTCTCACGCATTACGCGCTCTCGAAATAGTATTCGACCCCGTTTGACCCTCTATCGCGACTGCGACATTTCGCGTCTCCCGGAGACATCTGGAGTGGGCGATTATGGGTCTTTTCCTTCAACGTGGACTCGTCAGAAGCGAACATTCCCAAATATTTTGCAGTTGGGAAATTCTCACGGATCCACACTGGAGAACAAGATTCACGGTCAACCTTCTGACTTTCTGTTTATCATCGAGATTTGTGTTTTTCAACATTTGTGTCTGAATTATTCGTCGATAACATTGGAAGTGATGTTGCTTTCTGAATCTGTCAAACGCGATAGATATCAGTCTTTTAATATGAATTTAATGGTAGCTCCCGCAGCAGATCGGTGGTAATTCTTTGCAAACTGCGTTTCTCTGAATAATTAACAGTAAAATTCTACACGCGTGGGTATAACAACGTACACTTTCAGTTATGAGTTTGGTATCATCAAGTTTCTTTTGAGATCAACCGTTTTCCACTTCTGCACAATTTCTAAACAAAGATATTCGTGCTGAGAGAGACCGATCTCTGTTCAATCTTATTTAAATCTCCTCATTTACGCGCCGAGAACAATTTGACGTTTTACGATCGAGACGTGGTAGCGCCTATTGGCCTCGCGCCGTTGGATCGACCAGGTGCGACCAATCCTGAAGGGTTTCTGTGACCCGAACGCGCCAATCGCGCGATGTTACCGCAATTGACGTGTCTTGGGATCGCATATTCCATGATCACGACGATGTGATGTCATAACATTGTTGGTTCTCGGTATAATTTGATAAGAACCCCATCGCGGACGTGGTTGTTTCTTACGAAGCGCGAGGAAACTCGAGCGAAGTCACGACGGAGATCCTTTATGCGGCCTCTAACGAGGAAATAACCTACATGGAGACGCAGAGCAACGTTATAAGGCTGTCCAAAGAGGACATCCCGTTAATATCCAAGCCGCGGAACTACAGCTCTTGGTCGAGGTGACGTACATCTTGTCTCGCTCGAAGAAACCCCGATTTTTTATGCGCCGTACCTCGTACCTTTTATGCGACGACATGAGCCCTTTATGTGAATTTTCTGTCTGTGACAATGAATTTCCTATTGGATATTTCTTAGTAGATGCGAGCGACGTCCAATCGATGCGTTGGACGATGATGGTTGCTCTGACGTTTGTACATTTGTTTACGTTCGACAAGCTTCAATGACTCAACTGGATCACTGTGCTCGTGATTGTCAGTCATGTCACGTTGCAAACATTGACAGATTTACACTTTCATTTAGACAATGATGCTTTTTTTATTTTTAACTTCTATTTGTTGACTTTGTGAATAATATGTGACAAAGTTTAGGTGAAAGCAAATGTGTTGTAGTAGGAGATTCAGTTTCTTAATTTGTTCAATTTGTATGCAGTTTTGTTAGAACAAAATGTGTTCTTGTGCTTGCAGATGTTGTACTTGGATGTGGAGAAGATGCTGCAGAGAGCGCGAGTTAAGAGCCAGAGTTATTCACATTGGACAGCCTATGCATGAAAAGTTTCCCACCAATGTTATAAGAAATCAAAAATACAATGTTGTTACTTTCTTGCCTTTGGTATGTTTCTCCTCAGCAAGAAGGATGTCTTGGCATCTCTTTGAAGTGATCGGCGCGGTGTAATTAATGATACATCTGTTGTTGTTTTGCAGGTCCTCTTTCAGCAGTTTAAATTCTTCTTGAATTTATACTTTCTGCTCATGGCTATATCCCAATTTATACCAGACATAAGAATAGGGTATTTGTACACATACTGGGGACCATTGTGCTTTGTTTTAACCGTAACGATTTTCCGCGAAGCTATCGATGATTTTAGAAGATATAAGAGAGACAAAGAAGTCAATGCACAAAAGTACTATAGGCTAGTGAAGGGTTTTGATACGCCAGAATTAGTACCAAGTTCGAAATTACGAGTTGGCGATTTGGTAAGTTTTGTCACAGCGATTCCTATTGCCGATTCAACAGCGGAGTTCGCCACGTGAGGCCTAAACAATTGCGTTCTGCTCCACAAGGTAATAGTCGAGAAGGGTCAAAGGGTGCCTGCCGATCTGGTGCTGTTACGCACAACCGAGAAGTCAGGCGCATGTTTCGTGCGCACTGATCAGTTGGACGGCGAGACGGATTGGAAATTGAGATTAGCAGTGCCTGCGACGCAAAAATTGGAAAGCGACTCCCAATTGTTCGATATCAAGGCGAGCTTGTACGTCGAGAAGCCTCAGAAGGACATTCACAGCTTCATTGGCACCTTCTCCAGGGTGAGTCGTTTTGTTTCAGTGCTCTAAATTTATTTATTCTCAGATTGCCTCTCACACGATCGCAATATTTTCAGTATGATGGATATAGCAGCGAAGAGAGCTTGGGTGTGGACAATACTCTGTGGGCCAACACAGCTGTGGCATCAGGATCTGCTCTCGGTATTGTTGTTTACACCGGTCAGGAGACGCGGTCGTTGATGAATCATTCTGCAATTAGATCAAAAGTCGGTTTGCTCGATCAAGAGATCAATCAACTGACGAAGGTATTGTGCACATGTTCAAAAGTTATCGATATGCGTGTACGAATACTCAATTTAGCTGGCTTCCAGGTTGATGCCATGTCCTTTGTGGATTTGTGCACATTTCATCGGAATTATTTCTATTTAATTTTAGTGTATCGTGTTCCACATTCCTATTCTAGGAATAATGTTACCTATTCTAGGAGATAACTGTGTATATTTGCAAATTTCCTAAGGGAAGATTTTAAGTAAAATAATTCATTCAGCATATATTCTAGGGAAAATAATTACTGCCCCTCCAAATATAAATAAATTTAATTCACATTTATTTATTTTCCGCAGAAAATCCGTTATCTAAATTTTTTTCGACAAATATGAATAGATTCCGACAATATCCTGCTTTTTCATTTTTCTTCCTTGAGACATATATTTTGTATTCACAGGGTTCGTAACATTCTATCGAACATCTAACGTATTCATTTTACTCGCGAGTTAATTTTTCTGTGAAATATCAGGTGCAAATCCAAAAGGAATGTGGCATCAATTCTGGAAGCCAAATCGAGCATTTCACCATATCACCTCAAATATCATGTATGTACGTATAAATATTAATATATGCATTATATCTCGACAGGTGCTGTTTTGTGCAGTAATAGGACTCGCTCTGGTAATGATGTGTTTGAAGGGATTCAGCGGCCCATGGTACCGTTACATGTTCCGTTTCGTCCTGCTATTTTCGTACATCATACCTATCAGCTTGAGAGTGAACTTGGACATGGGTAAGGCGTTCTACGCTTGGTGCATTCAGAGAGACAAAGATATCGTCGGTACGGTCGTGAGGACAACCACTATCCCGGAAGAGCTCGGACGTATATCGTACCTGTTGAGCGATAAAACCGGCACCTTGACGCAGAATAAGATGGTGTTCAAGAAGCTCCATCTGGGCACTATATCTTATGGCCAGGAGACGTTTGACGAGGTAACGACGGTGTTGAAATCTTACTACTCGATCAGCTCGGATAATTCCCCGGTGAAAGCGGCACCAAGTGCGCATAGTGGCAAAGTACGGAGATCTGAGAACACCCGGATTTACGACGCCGTGCACGCTTTAGCTCTATGCCACAATGTAACCCCGGTTTATGACGACGTAACAAGAACTACGAATCTGGATACGATGAGCGTACAGACGGGAGAGACCGGAGACACGGGTTCCATCCAGAGGTACGAACGATTTCTCTCGCTTGCTGATCGCGAAAACTGAAACTGTCATTATCATTTTGGATTTTAATGTTTCAGTCAAACCGAGGCTGATCAGCATTATTACTTGCCGGAACAGAAGCGTAATTACCAGGCCTCGAGTCCGGACGAGGTGGCTCTGGTGAAGTGGACGGAAGAAATGGGATTGGCTCTGGTCAAGCGAGACTTGAATTCGATGCAACTGAAAGCTTTGAATGGTCAAATATTGAATTACACTATACTACAGATATTCCCCTTTACGTCGGAGACCAAGCGAATGGGAATAATCGTAAAGGAAGAGTCCAGCTCGGAAATCGTGTTTTACTTGAAGGGTGCTGACGTCGTGATGTCTGGTATTGTACAGTATAATGATTGGTTGGAGGAGGTATGCGGTAATATGGCGCGTGAAGGTCTTAGGACATTGGTTGTGGCCAAGAAGAATCTGACCGAAGACCAATACCTTGATTTCGAGGCGAGGTAACGTTTCATTAGAAAGATTAAGAAATTACGTGGATAAATACATGTTAAGATATTAAATTTCGAGTAAATGATTGAATTGCTATAATTATAGATACAACGCGGCGAGAATGAGCGTTAGTGACCGTGTGTCGAGGGTCGCCGCGGTGGTTGAAAGCCTCGAGAGAGAAATGGAGCTGTTATGTGTGACCGGTGTCGAGGACAGACTGCAAGATAGAGTGAGGCCTACGTTGGAGCTTTTGAGGAACGCCGGCATAAAGATATGGATGTTGACCGGCGACAAGCTGGAGACCGCCACGTGTATAGCGAAATCCTCACGGCTGGTCTCACGCACTCAAGGACTACACGTTTTCAAGTCCGTTGTGACGCGCACTGACGCCCACTTGGAACTGAATACATTCCGCAAGAAGCAAGATTGTGCCTTAGTTATCAGCGGTGATTCCCTGGAGGTGTGCTTGCAGTATTATGAACAGGAATTCCTGGAACTTGCTTGCGGCTCACCAGCCGTCGTCTGTTGCCGATGCTCTCCCACGCAGAAGGCCGAGGTTGTTAGTCTCATACAAAGACACACCGGGAAGAGAACAGCGGCCGTTGGCGATGGTGGCAACGATGTCTCGATGATACAAGCTGCGGACGCTGGTATGCATAATCTCGTTTATACAATTTTGACTTATTTGTGTAAATTCATAATGTTGTGTTATACCTAATTAAATATCTAATGAAAATAATTAAATAGTTGCTGTAACTTACGGTTAATCACATGTATGCTATCAGGAATTGGTCTGGAGGGTCTTGAGGGAAGGCAAGCATCACTAGCCGCGGATTTCTCAATTTCTCAGTTTAGTCACCTTGCTAATTTGTTGCTAGTCCATGGTAGAAGAAGTTATAAACGGTCGGCCGCATTAAGCCAGTTCGTCATACATCGTGGCCTGATAATTTCAACTATGCAGGCAGTGTTCTCTGCGGTCTTTTATTTGTCTTCAGTTGCCTTATACCAGGGTTTCCTTATGGTAGGGTAAGTAAACATACAAATTTACAATACTGACACTATTCAATGTATTTTTTGCATTATATTGATATATCTTATAATTCTTTGGAAAAATAATTGCTTAAATATCGCAGTACGCTTAAATTGATCATATACTGAAAAATATTTAGGTATGCTACAATATACACAATGTTTCCCGTCTTTTCGTTGGTACTGGATAAAGATGTATCAGGAAAAATAGCGCTTACATACCCAGAACTCTATAAAGAGTTAAGCAAGGGTCGTTCATTGTCATATAAAACGTTTTTTATGTGGGTTTTAATAAGCATATATCAAGGCAAGTAACCTATTAAATTATGATATACCTATGAAACATATCGTATCTTTTTCTCCATAATGTTTTATTTCAGGAGGGGTAATAATGTATGGTGCACTTATAATGTTCGAGGACGAATTCATTCATATAGTGGCCATTAGTTTTTCGGCGCTTGTTTTAACGGAGTTAATAATGGTTGCTTTAACGATTAGAACTTGGCATCATATAATGATGCTCGCGGAAATCTTCTCTTTGGCGCTTTATTTACTGTCGTTGGTTGTTCTCAAAGATTACTTCGGTAAGTCTGACGCATGAACAATAACGAAAGAAATTATCGAGTATTCATTTCATTGATGTCATACGATTTTTTCTCCCTTTTAATACAGATGCTGAATTTATCAAAACAACGGACTTCTTGTGGAAAGTATTGGTGATAACGTTAGTCTCGTGCATGCCACTGTATATCTTGAAGTTCTTGAGGAAGAAGTTCTCACCTCCTAGTTACACAAAATTATCCTAAATTTTGCGCGAAAGCGTCATCTGCCATCTGCGTATAGATAGAAAAGGGAGGACAAAACATCAACGTAATGTATTAGTAATATAGAGAGAGATGTATAAAAATTTTCTCTTTCGTTCCAATCCAATCCAACTAACACTGCTCAGTTCGTTCGTAGCGGAATAAGATAAATTATATGCACCGTTTTATATCAACCAACTATTTTTGTAACGATTCTATCGAGGACTAATGTAACAGGAAATGCCTATGCTGCGGAATAAGAGCCGATCAAGTTTCCAAATCTCTTGTATTATATCGTGCACTGGGTGACTTCGTTGAGATACGGATTGGATTTTATCATGCGAAACCAACAACTCCACAATACTTCGTATAATGTTAATATTTCCTGCAAGGCTTATCTATATCACACATCCTGGCTTCAGGTTAAAAATACATGACTTTTTTTATCTGTTTTTTTCTTTTTATATATATCTATTTTTTTGTTTATATATATATATATATATTAATTTATTTATGAACGTTAACGCCAAAGTCGAATCTTCCATTTTCGTGCATTTGTATGCATGTATCACGGCATTTATATAGGTTCGATGCTTATCGTTCGTTCTTAAAATACTAATTAGGAATGTTCCAATTGAGCACAACAGTATTTCTCATATATCGAATAAATCTTCAAGCTATCCCAGCGTATTAAGGGACAAATAATCTTTATTCGTAATGAGAGATTAATGCATTTTACTTAAAAAAAAAAGGAAATTGTTAAAGCTAATACAATTAAGGAATAGGATTTGAGTGTCAGAAATGAAACTGTGATTTTTGTGAACTAAGTATAAACGGCAATTTTTGCACTAATGCTACTATATAAAGAAATTTTTATTCCGGGGCTATTTGAAATTTATTTCTTTGTCTTATCTCTCAAGAAACGTTTCAGTCTAGGTATTCTTTTGTATAAATAAATCACATATATTGCGCATAAACTATCGATATCAGATTACGTAATATGTTTTATATTCATGTATATAATGCAAGTATGTAGAACATGTAAACTGTAATCGTTGTTATCTCTAATATGAATGAAGTGTATCACAAATAATAGCTATTTTTAGGAAACTATTGTTTGCTGATGTAACGCGTTTGTGATTAATTTATTCACAAATAAAATAATATATTCCTTTTCCCGACTTCTCTGGTATATTCGTGCTATTCACACGATGATGGCGTCGCTCTATGTGTATGTTAACAGATTTCATTAAAGTTAATAGCGGCTCGAGGGGGTGTCGTGCGCTGTTTACGAAATAAGTAGATCGTAGAACTCACTCTCTAAATAAAAACTCAGTTTTCGTTAAGAAAGCGTTTTATTTTTAACTTTACCTAACCATCACATTTAGTTTATCAGTCGCTGTTTTTTCCACTTGACGATGAAGCATATTGACTTCCTTCTTAGTCAAGGTGCGTTCCATGTGTCTGTACACTATAGTGTAACAGTGAGACGTTCTTTTTGTCTTTGGATGAACGAACTGGTCTTTCAGAATAATTTGATCAATGATATCGCCGCCTATTTCCCGAACTATGTCGTAGAAGTCGTTGGGAGAATAACTTTCGTCTTCTGGTAACCAGAAACTTATGTCGTTTGTGCAAGAAGGATATATACTTATCGGCTGAAACGCGTATTACATTTTAATATTTTAACATTATATTAGTATTTTAGAAAAATAAAATTTCATAATTTTGACCAATTATTCATATGATATTTATAGAGAGAGAGAGAGAGAGAGAGATAGAGATGTAATTAGTATATATCTATAACGTTATATCCGAAATAATGTCTCACCGTATATTGTATATGCGCGTCAGGATTATCTACTTTAAACTGATTTATGAAACTGATATCTTGGCTCCAAAATAATCGTATGTCCGGTATACTATATAAGCGCATGGCCAAACGTTCCAAGCCAAGACCGAACGCCCATCCGATCCGATCGACGGCACCGGCTTTCTGAAGAATCTCTTGGCGCATGATACCGCAACCTAATATCTCGAGCCACTTATCGTCGAACAATATTTCTAACTCCCAGGATGGATGAGTGAATGGGAAGTACTGGTCAACCCATCGGCATTGCACATCTATTAATATGAAGCATCATTAAACTAAAATCTCATTTTGATCTTGTGAAATTGAGAAATTAATAATTATCAAGATTAGGTAAGTTAATTTTTTCTTTTTTAGTTTTGTTAAATTTAAAGTTAATGACCCTGTTTATTAACTTAGTTTTCATCAAAAGTAAATAAAGTCTAATTCAATTAATACTAAATTAACTTATTAAAGTTAAAAGTTAATTATTTTACATTATTAAACAGCTCGCAATGATCAAAGTATTGATGAATTAGTCTAATTTGTATAAAAAAAATTGACAAGTTTAATATATTTTAAGATAACTAATTTGAGCTGAAGGTTGAGCTTATTTTTAAAATAAGCTGAATTAGATTAGAAATTATTAATTTCTTAACATTTTAACATTGATCAATTAATTACTCAACCACAGTAATTACATAAATTTTCTAAATTTCATTTTAGATTAGACTTGAGAATCTTATATCGTTATCAAAGATAACATTAATATTAAGGATGATATAACTATACCTTTCCCAAAGATAGCTTGTGCTAGACCAAATAGGGTACTTTTTAGTTCCTGTTCCATTATCTTTACTGCTTCTAAAGTGTGACATCCTTGTTTGTCAGTGGTTTCTACCCCAGAGTGTTCGAATAGCTTTAAACCCACGGAATCATTGACGTCATGAAATAACTCCTGCAAGGTACACAGCCTGACTGCATCAGCCTGATGGAAAACCGGATAATGAGTACTGTCGACTTCGTCTCGCCGATATACATCTCCGATAACGAGGAAGTTATTCAAACCCATTGAAATTAATTCTGCCTGATGCGCAGTGGTGTGTGCCCTCAGCAGCGTGTCTTGATTTACGAAGTAACAATCGCTTTTATTCCTACTCGGATGATCCTTTGGTACAAGAAGGGAATCAAAATTTTGACTAGTTGTGACTATGGGGCATATGTTATCATAGATGCTAAACGCTGGTGTTCCATTCTTGCTACGGAATCGTTTGTAAAAGTAGTTCACAATACGTTGACGTAAATGCGAGAGTGGATGGTACTGCTTGACATGCAAATTTCTTCCTAACTTAGTAATAATATTTGAAGTGAGGTTTGTCCAATCATCTGTTGCATATTTCTGACCCAGCAGCACTAGCTCGTTGACATTTTTATTAACATTGGCGACGCTAGAGGCTGTTCTAGATGTTGTCAGGATTCTCTTGCACAGGTGAATATACCTGCTACACCTGTGAAAGAGACGTAGTAAACAAATTTTTCTCTGACAAACGAATAAAATAAATACGTTCAAAAATGGTCTACCACATTATTATGAGTTGGTTAACCTCTTCTTGTTATGTCAAGGAATATCGACTCCAATCGACTCCTTTCTTAGAAAATGAATGACGCCATTTTGTAGTCTGTTCTTTTCAATTGCATTGCTACACTAATACTCTGTTCTCTTTATTCTGATTGATCAATTAAATGCTACTCTACCCGTCGAGTAGAATTTTTGAACACAGTTTAGGTTTTTCTTTGTATGACTAGAGAGAACAATGGGCGGTATTCATAATCAGATCTTATATTTAAGATCAACTTAAGTACTGTCTTAAGATGTCATGAACCAATCACAGAGCCGTATTCGCATCTTAAGACATTACTTAAGACGATCTTGAAATAAGATTCGACTATGAATACCGACCATAAAGCTTATAAGTACTTTTTTGGTTATAAGTACTGATATTTTTGGAATTCGTACTTCAGTACCTTGGATGAAAGGACAATAGAGATAAGTTTAAAGCCAGCGGCACGCGGTGCTTGTTTTCATGCTGGATTGCTTGCTGATTGGTGCATTTCTGAAGATGGATGAAAATACACCAATCAAAACAGAGTATTTCCATCCAGCAAGCAATCTAACACGAAAACAAGCACCGTGTGCCGCTGGCTTAAGTCCAAATAAAAGGTCTGTTCTTTTGCTCTGCACTGCTGCACTGGTGCCATAAGTTAGAGTGAAACAAATATATATTTGTCTCACTCTAACTTGTTGCACCAGTGCAGCAGTGCAGAGCAAAAGAACAGACCTAAAATTATAAGAGCGGCACATAGTGCTTGTTTTGTACTGGATTGCTTAGTAGGAAGAAATACTGTTTTGTTTTGTTGAGAATAAAGAAAGTAACTTGTGAAAAAAAATTGTCAAATAAATATTAATCTAGTAACTCGCTATATCGAAATGGCCGAAAATAAATTTTCTTCGTTGCAAGGATTCAAACTCGAGTAAGTTGAAAGAAATTTAGAATATATTTACATTATATAAAGTTACTTTGTTACTCTAATTAATTTGTTTACCGTTTTAGAGATTTACTATCCAAAGATGGGGTTACGTTTGAAATTGGAGAACAATATTACGATGATGAAGATGAAGAGTTTGCATATACTTCATTCGCACAATATAGTAATGAGGAGATGTTAGATATGTTGAACATGAATGATTTTAGTGACGATGAGATAGATAAACAGGAAACAAATATACTTCTTCACGGTATTAGTTTTGCAAAGTTAAAAAAAAAGATGACAAGTTTGATAGCAGATCAAAAGGTAAATCAGTTTTTATAGTATTTCTTGCAAATTATTTTTTTCTTATAGAAATAAAGTAAATCGTCATATTGATAAAAAAATGACAGATGCCAATTCAATAATATCCTTGCTCAATTAGGTGATGAAATATATCAAGCAGAAAGGTGTTGGAGAAGTTATACCTAACAATGCTCAGGTCACTGTCCATTATGTAGGATATTTTGAGGATAACGATGAACCTTTTGATTCTTCATATGTCACTGGACGTCCAAGAACATTGCGTTTAGGACAAGATCTCATCATACCTGGTTTAGAAATAGCTATAGCCAGTATGTGTAAACATGAGATAGCAGTATTTTGGATGCATCCTGACTATGCCTACAAGGCTATGGGCTGTCTACCACGTATCCCTCCTAATGCAGAAGTAATTTTCATTGTTCATTTGTTTGATTTTATTGATAATGGTTCTGCAGATACGTATTATAATCTTAGTCTGGAGGAGAAACAGTCATTTCCAAACGTGGTAGAGTCTGTCAAACATATGCTTGTAACTGCTAAAGATCACTTCGCTAAGCAACGTATCAAACAAGCAATAAGAGAGTGAGTAATGGATGTTCTAAGAAAGAGCTCTGCTCATTATATAGTTGTATACATGCGTTTTCCTCCTTGCAGATACAAAAAAGTTGTTGACTTTCTGGATATGGTAAAATTGAAAGATGACATAGAAGAGGAAAAAATAAAGAAATTACTCTCTCGGACTTGTACTAATCTCGGGATTTGCTATAACAAGTTGAATATGCCACGTAATGCTTGCTTGGCTTGTAACAGGGTTCCTATTCCTACTGCAAAAACTCATTATAAGTACGTTATATTAATAAACGATGCAACAGTTTGTGCGAATTATATATGGATCAAATTAAGTTGATATTTTGACAAAGTTTTTTTTCATATATTTTTTTCTTAGCTTCGGGAAAGCTCTTCTAAGTATTGCAGAGTATGATGAAGCAATGAATGAGTTGCAAAAAGCTCACAAGTTAGATCTGCATAATCAGTGTATTAAGAAAGCAATTCAACAAGTGAGTCGAAAATTAACCTATAAGAAATATTAAAATAATCCTTTTAACATAACTGGATATATATATTTATGTACTATTTGCAGACGAATATGAAACAACGTGAATACTTGGAAATCGAAAAACGCTTATGGAAAAATTGCTTTAAATCTGAGGAGAACAAAACGAAACTCACTGAATTCCGGAAAGCCGCACGTGATTTGTGCGATTCCGTGCAAAACAATATAGTAAGACAACCTCTTCCTGAAGGTTTTACAGAGGAAGAGCTTGAAATCATACGTGAAGAAGCTGCTACATCAGGACTGAACATTGTCAGGCATATAAGATACGGCAAAGAGATTGTATATATTCAGAAGAACAATGCGTGAAATTATATATTCGAAGTTTATACCCAATTTCTTCACTTCTGGTTAACTTTATCTACCAGTTATTCTATTGAAATTGACCTATCATATTTATGGTTGGCAAGAATTAATCAATTTCAGTTGACATTCAACAGATAGATAAAATTAACCAGAGGTGAAGAAATTGGGCATTAGACATTAATCTCCTAAACTTATTATTGCATTCTCAAAAATTTATAAATAATAGTTCCTTTTTACGTTATTTTTTTAATATGAGGTGTTCATATTGTGACAATAGTGAATTCACAATAGTAATTATTCACCAAAGATGCTATTGATATTTCATATCAATGTTAGTGTAAAATATACAGGCCAGCCTGTACTCATGACAAATGAACTTTATACTATCAGTATCAGTATATTTAAAGCCTTCAGCTCATATAGTCAAGAAGGAGACTTGATCTATAGTTACATTCCTTAACTGCACGTATTCATTTCTTATTTATATCTATTCAATTACTAGTCTACTAATAGTTACATTATCTCTCTTTAATTGACTTTGCTATATTCATCTTGTTACTTAAATATTTTTGTAATTTCTTTTCACAATCTTCTTAATTTTTAATTTCTTTTTAATTTTCATCTAATCTTTATATTATCTACATCTTAATATCATATCCAATTACTCTTTCCTATTTCATTCAATGGATACCATGTTGTCCTCATATACAATATTTGCAACTCTATTTTTCAGCTGTATACTTTTATCCCTTTATTTTTCCTCTTTCTCTTTCCGATCTCATCATTGTTCTATTTAATCTTCATTCTCTTTTTCCGCAATTTTCTCCCATATCTTGTTAGTTTTATTATATTCTTTTTCAGTGGCGTAACCACTCAGGGGGAGCTGAAGAGACTGCAGCCCCCCCCCCCCAAAATTAATTTTTTGGGTTACGTTAAATGTGAGAAATTTTTTTTGAATAACCTTTCTTTTGCTCGTCAAAAATAAAAAGTACAGCCCTCCCCGAAATTTTTTTCTGGCTACGTCACTGTTCTTCCTACTAACTCCATAAAGTGATTCCTCTGCCTTTTTTCGCTTCCTATATGTCTCCTTCAGTTTATATCGCTAAGAAAGAGTTTTTCATATCCTATAACCTATAGTCTTTCTTTTATTCTTTGCACTTCATTCTTATTTCTATAGTATCATATTTTGCTTCTATATCCCATCAGATCATTTCATCCTCTTCATTTCTTGTATCCTCTTCTACTTCCAGTACACTTTTGTGTACTTTTGTCTTCTATTACTATTCTATTATATATTTCTATCAATAATTTATTTTACATTACCACACTAACCTAAGCTTATTTGCCTTAACTTAATTTAATTGAAATAACCTTAACTTAATTGAAATTTGTGAAATTGTATGATTTACAATGTGATAAAAGGTAGACAAATTACTATTCAGGAATTATAAGTTATTCACTAAGTCTCAATATATACTGCCGTTTTGTCTTCCAATATATACTGCCAATATATACTTAAAAGTTTAACAAGAAGATACTATAATAAAGAAATCAAAATATTATATATACATAAATATAAACTATACAAATATAACATATGAAAAATATATTTTTGAAGTTCTTAAATATAGAATATAGAATACAGAACGCCTTGTATATTACTCGCTTTTATTTTATTTTTTTAAATACTAAACATGTCGTTTAGAAAAACGATACAAATATATATTATAGAATGCAATCTATATAAGGAGATAAGTACAAAGACAGCGTTAATATTTGATGCATTAGTAACATCATCATTATATATTTTCCAATGTTTGTTGACAAGTAAGACAAATAAAAAGTATTTTGCAAAAATTCCCCGTCGTCTATATTTGACCAATTTTACAAAGTCGAAGTAGCAGAATCAATACACTCAAGAAATAGAGTAAACAAACGCCGGATGTTCGTGGAGCGGTCATTATTTTCCTTATTTGACATGGATAATAAAATCTAATGGAATGATATAAGAAGTTTTCGGTTTATGTAACGCTAAAGTATATAAAGAATCCCCGGACTACGATGTAAAAGAGTGTAACCATGGCTCTTATTGCAGCATTCTGCGCATTCTTGTTTTTAAGTATGTAACTCAGTTTCTTTCAAATCTATGATTTTTTAATTTTGTATATAATAGAGATGTGTGCGAATAAAAGATTTTTAATGTCGAATCGAATTGAATCGAATCGATGAAATTTCACCCGAATCGAATCGAATCGAGTGAAATCGAATCGAATCATTAAACAAATTTTTAATTAACATAATCATTGAATTCAACATAAAAATAGTGACTTCAGTAACTAACAGAGAGAGATAATATTGATCATGTGATATCAATTTTAAGGTAAGAAATATATAATATATAATTGGTAAACCTGTATACAGTTCTAGCTTTGAAAGCTGCGCAACGACACATATCGATTCGACAGTTGTCGGTAAGAGTTTATCTAGAAACCATTATCTTCTTTTAATATTTTTGAAGAAAAATTTAATGTATAGCAAACTTTTCAAGTCATGCTAATTCCCATAAGGCTGGATGTCTTTAATAGTTCTTCGTTAATGCTAATGTGCACGATCCGTATTCGAATCTTTTCGATTCGAAATTTTCGAATTATTCGGTTTCGAATTATAGGGATTCAAATTTGAATCGAGTCGATTTCATTTGATTCGATTCTATTCGAATTCGAATAGTTCACACATCTCTAGTATATAATATAAATCTTATTATATAAATATCTTATTATCGAAGTATCATACATTGTCACGTTATTTGTTACTTATTCTAATTTTAGATGTGCCTTTCAATACGGCCCAGCTTGTAGGTCGCCGACTATCACTTCAAAACATTCAAGACTTTCACCCCGAGAATGGTCTTTTTGAAATTTTCATGAACCCGGCATCGATTGTTTCAAATGATCACACGGTGATCGGCGATGTCCTCGACTTGGATATCAAAGCGGAGGATGTGACGTACGATCTTTATACTAAGGACAACAAGGACGAAGCTGTGATCCTACGAACAGGTGATACCGCTCAGTTGAAGGATTCTCCGTTTAATCCTGACTGGCCGACTAAGATCATTATTCACGGATGGATAGAGAACGGAGATGCGTTTTGGTATCATGACATTCGACGGAATTACCTTAGCATCGGAGATTACAACATAATTTGCGTCAACTGGTTCCCCGGCGCGAACAAGGAATACCTAACGTCCGTGAGACTTACTCGTCAGGTGAATAAAAGAACTTGGTGTATCCTACAAAAAATAATCAGGGAGATGAGACGATCATCACGTGAAGTACCACACATACTAATAAAGCAAACGAACGTCAATAAAACAGGAATCTGAAATCAATCAATCACGTTTACAGGTGGGAGAATATGTGGCTGCGTTTCTGGAATTTCTCGGATCGGAGACGGAGATCTCCTTCGACGATATTCACGTTTTGGGACACAGTCTAGGCGCCCATGTAGCCGGGTCCGTTGGCAGCTCCTCATTGAAGAAACTCGGCCGGATCACCGGTCTCGATCCGGCCAGACCAGCGTATGAAACACCTTATCTGAAGGACACAGAAGAGCGACTGGATTCCACGGACGCGAATTTCGTGGATGTTATCCATACCTGCGCCGGTGGCTTAGGCTTCGTCAGACCGATCGGCCACGTGGACTTTTATCCAAATGGAGGAACGTTTAGGCAACCCGGATGTCCGATATTTTCAACCCGTATGGCGTTTTAAATTTTATATTTCAATTTTATAATGTGACGGCTATGGACTAATGCATCTCGTATGTTTAGAGTCTTGCAGTCACTTCAGATCGCATCAATTCTTTATCGAGTCGATTGTGCGTCCCGATGCTTTTGTCGCCGTACAGTGCCCCAACTGGATGGACTTCCAGCTGAGTAAATGCGGCAGCAACACCACCGCTGTCATGGGTGAATTCGTCAGCACTGACGCTCAGGGTACCTTCTATCTGGAGACCAACGCGCAGTCGCCGTTCGGAAAGGGCGAGATATAATGAGAGAGGCGAAGGAAGTTTTGGAGAAGCTTTGCACGTTTATACATACATTATACGGTTATATATATATATATATATATATATATATATATATATTTATATATATATATATATTTTATTATAATTAGTGATACCGCGGGGAAACGTACAAAAGAGTAGAAAGTATCTTATCTACACATACGACGTTCATTACAAATATATTACGATACAAAATAGAACGGTGATAAAAAGTGACACGTATTATTCAAAGTTATATTCAACGATGTCGAACGATATATGTCGGACAAACTTGACTGTTTAAGCTATTGCAGCAAGCGTTGCCTCTTTATCGAACGGTTTCTCGACTTCATCTCCGAATAGCGTGCGGTACTTTCGGCGCACTGTGTCCCAGTCGACGACGTTTTGTATTCTAGGAACGTTGCTCAAGGACCATTGACTATCAGCCGGGCTCGATTGAAGTAAGGAGAAGTTGACATTGCTCTTTGCTCGTGATGTTGGAAGTATTCTATTATTCTAAAAATAAAACCTTATATTCGTAAAATACCTATAAGTGGCCATTTAACAATTACGTCACGCGAAATTTTAATATTTTTTTATCTCTACCCCCTCTCCTTCGTTACATTTCCTAATCTCCCGTTCTCTGTGCCATCACGCTAGCTAATAGTCTCATAATATGACGTAATTGGTGAATAACAAAAAGTGAATGACAAAAGTGCATTGGAAGTCTGCGTACAGATTTTGGGAAGTTATTCTGATGTGTAGTAGGTTCCATGTATCCACGTGACTTGTTCGTCCTCTGTCTTGCGATTCGTTCCTTCTTACAAGTTCTCCCAAGATACGCTATCCACGTGGTGACGAGATTCAACGGTGACGGAGCAGTTTTTGCTCTTCAAAAGAGAATATTGAAAATAAACGTAATGCAAAGCTCCATATGAGTTTGAAATCAAAGCCTACTTACAAGTTACTTTCACGGAATACTGTGTGTGTATGGACATGATTGCATCTACTCACTTTTGCATTTTGCGAACCAATTTGCTGAGACCGTACTTCCACTCGATATCGCTCTGCGACTGAATGTTGTGATACGTATCGCTCATCATGGCGATTAGTAAATTCATCAGTACTATAACGCTGACGAGCATGTACAACGAGAATGACACCTGTCGAAAGGACAAGCAGATATTTGTCATGAACTTGGATATAGAATATGATACAGGATATCAAGGGTTCTCGGTTGCAAATGAGAAACTGTATCGCACCAGGGAGTTTCCCGATTCGCATCAGCTTCGTTGCTGTAAGTTGCAACTGCTACAATCTTTGACCGACATCGTTTTTTGAAAGACGATAAAGAGGTAACTCGGGCGTGCGGGATCGCGACTAAATAAAAAAAAACGTTATAACGTAGAAAACAAAATTTTGATAAAATATTAATTTATTAAGTTAAATATCTCTCTATTAATTATTTTACTATAAAATATTTGATAAATATTTATCTCATATATGAAAGATAATCTGCCTGATCACACAAAATCATGCCTTTGTTACGTTACGATTTTCTTTGTGCGTTGACTTAGATTTGCTGTTATCTATAGATTTCACCCAGCAAACATAATGTTACATGTAACGTACATGTTAGTTACAATTTCCTACTCATCAATATAACTGTTATATAACATGCATGTTATATAACAGTTATATTACTGAGTAGGAAATTGCAACTAACATGTACGTTACATGTAACATTGTGTTTGGTGGGCAGTTTACAGTCAGTACTTAACATAACTTAAGCGTTACGGATGTTTCCTTGCGGAGGCTCTTAATTATCTTGGTTAAAGTTCCTTTAGTCAGAGTTAAAATAAGGCATGATAACCTCTGAATAGGTTCGTCATTATTAAAGATTACGTGAGCGAGAGAGAAGTTCTAATATATATGATAAAGTAAGAATGAACTAAATATTTTGAGAATAATTAGTTTCCAAATTTATATTTAATAATGAAATTTTTTGTTTGCTTTCGTGAGTTCTATTAGCTAGTTTAGATTTTACTTGTTATAAGATACTTTATAAGTATATAAACAAGTAGTAACAGTTGTGTTTCTTACCTTGAACAGATAAATAGTCCAGTCTGGTTGTTGCTTTTTTCTTAACGTAATTGTGAAGTCGTCGGTGCCTTTTTGGCCGAAAATGGAGAAGAAAAGATACTCCGTAATATTGATCGGATTAACTCTCACTGTGCAAACAGAAAAAAAGATCGATAAATCAAAGAAATTTTATTGGTGAGTTAATTTTAATCCCGTTATACGCAACTACATATTATCAAAAATCATAGCGTTCAAGTTTGGTTGGCTCCTATGCTAATGCAGTGGTGTAGTGCAATTAAAAATTTCTCCTGCTAAAAATTCTTTATGAAAATATATCATTCTTATTTCATACATTTGATGCAGTTATAATGTCGCAAATTCCAGATTATGCCACTGCCTAGTATAAAATAAATTATCGTGTTATCTATTCGTCGTCATATCCTGATTGTAAGCAGAAAAAAGTATACGTATATAAAGTATATGTATTCTTTCTCTATTAAACTGTAAAAATTCATGCTGACGATCAATCGACTATGTCGTTCTTTGTTCAGTAAAAATTGACGATTAATCGTAGAGAAGTCAGCGAGCTTTATAAAACCTAAGAACATGCGATGGGACGAGCAGCGCGTTTCGATCTCCATGAGTAAATACTGAGTGGTAAACTGCAAAGGTATTCACATTTGAAATCGCATACGCATCGATGAGAAGTTTCTGAACGCATTCAATTGCGTGAATGAATGAATGTGGCTTGCAACGTGAGAGCTGCATTTCGCTACGCATCCTGAGAAAAAAACTAAATTAAAAGGAACTTACAGAAACTTATACTGCAATTCTAGACAAAATCGTAAAACTCGTAACTTGTTTTCGTAAGACTCGTAAGAACTTATGAATAGGTCTGCAATTCTGTGTCATATAATAATTCGTAAAGATCTATGATTTTTTTCTTGTTTCTTTCGTAAGCTACGATTTTACGATTTTACGATTTACTCGTATATTTGTTTAGAATTGCAGCATTACTTTGTAAAATTACGAGTTCCTAATCTACGAAATTGGGAACAGATTTTAAAGCCATCGAATTTTTTTTTTTGACTTTTGCTATGCGCGAGCACTTAAACGTGAGTAGCAAGTATACCGAGAAAAAAAATACTTGAAAAGTTATTTGTGCGATATAACGTTTACTCACGGAAATAAACTTTATTTCACAGAAATGAACTTTATATTCCATAAATAAATTTTCAATAATTTTTTCTCAGTCTACTTGTTATTTACATGTGAGTACTTACACATATAACAAAAGTGTATAACAAAATAGTTGAAAATTTATTTCTGCGAAATAAACTTTATGTCCCACAAATAAATTTTCAAGTATTTCGTTCTTAGTGTGTTAAGAATGAATTCAAGATTCTTAAAGCCTTAATTTTAAAAATTAAGATTCTTTCGTACAATCTCATCGAGTTCCTTTTGATCGAACTATTTTTCATAGAGTATACATTCACACATGCTATCACAGATGCATGCCAGTTGAACGTCACGCAACATGCGAATGATTGAAAAGTGAGTGAGACCCATCGATTCATACGCACAAACAACCGTTCGCTTTGACGTATCGGCGAACACAGTATGTTACATGCTACACATTAAAACGTGTGATGGTTGTGTGTGTAATGACGTGAGCAATTCGAAGGCAATTCTAAATCGTGATATCGCGGCCTTGCGTAGTCATTTCGCGTACATACGTATTCTATAAGTATGTATTGAGCGCTGATATTTCGCTATTTCGTAGGCAACATGATGCAGGCATAATGATCAGTACATGCCTCGTTGCGAGAAAGAGATAGAGAGAAAAAGACAAAGAGAAAGAATCGTTACGCGCTCTATGTATGCATTTATACGTATATGTAAACATACATATATACGTATATATATTGTATATAATCGAAAAGAGAACATTCAAAGTGGGAGAAAAAAAATGTATATTATTAAGATAATACAATGACTAACCGTCAAATGTGACGTGGAACGATTCCTATGCATACGGGTATTCCCCATGGTAGCTTCTAAAATATGGTATAGGTAATCGATTAGACCGTGGATCACGAGGAGCGGGTAGTCTTCTAGCTAATAACTGTACAAGCGAGGCGAGGTCGAACTAAGCGTTTATTTGAAAGAAAAAGAAAGTGATACTCTGACAAGGACCACTGCGTGCTTTGTCGCGCGCCCCTGCACGCGTATGTACACAAAATTAATCGCGCGCGATCAAACGCATCTTGAATGCGCGTCGAACCCCGGAAAAAGGAAAAACGCTATAGAACGCTGGTTTAGCGAGTGATCTTTGGCGATTTCTGTTCTGCTTCCTTCTTGTCTTCCTTCAGGCCCCGGGCAGTCCCGATTTCATGGCGACGCTCGACGATCCCTCCAAGGCCGCCAATGGATTCGTCTCCGTCGATTCCTTGCTCTCCTCGACCGGCTTCTCTACCTTCTCGCCGTAGAGATCTCTGTACTTGCGCCTGACGACTTCCCAGTCGACGACATTGTCGATCTTGACGATGTTGTTGAAGGACAACTGACTGCCGAGGGGACTCAGGTGGACGACCGACAGGGCCACGCTGTCTTTGTGGGCGATCTGCGTGTTTTTCTTCACTTTCGACAGCCATTTCGCGCCCATCCTCGAACGGGGTGACATGTGACCGGCGCCCATCAAGTGCATCAGGGAGGGTTGTTGCCGTTTCTTAGTCCTGCGCTTCTTGCAGAGCTTGCAGAAGTACACCATCCACGTAGTCATGAGGTTGAGCGGGGACGGCGCCGTGGTGGTCCTGCATTGGAGAATCAGTTTGATTATTGCGACGCGAATTCCATTTTGCTTCCTTCTATTCTCACTGCTCCCCGCTTCCTCTTATTCCTTTTGTCCTTAATTCTAAATATCTAGAGTTCGGGATTTGTTCTCTTACCTGTGCATATTTCGTACGAGCTTGCTCAATCCGTACTTCCATTCGATGTCCGATTGCGCCTGTATCCGCTGATAGGTGTCGCTCATCATAGCGATCAGCAGATTAATAAGCACCACCACTGACACCAACATGTAAATGCCGAAGGTGATCTTGAAGAGCACGGTCGTCCACCAGGGCTGCTTCAATTCGTTCTTCTTGAAATCATTGTGCGTCGTCTGACCGAAGATGGCGAAGAACAACAACTCGACCGCGTTTATGGGATTCATGTAAACTGTAAATACGCGTCAACAATATGTGTCTCGTAAGAGGCATCTCATAAATGCGCGCGAATGCATGCTATCTTTATGCAAAAATGTTCTCTGACATTGTTCGAGGGGGGTACTGAGGGAGGGGGCGGGGGGAACAAACACATGCTAACGTCGCAACTATCGTACGTCGAATGGAGGATCGAGTTGAAGCCATTACAAGGTGTATGCTGCATACGTCGCACGAATTTCTTCATTCTGTCGCTGAAGAGATATCCAAGTGCCCTGAACGAGTCGTATTTCCATCTAAGGAGACACCATTTCTAATTCTAAGCGCGCAAGACAACAGATACTAGGAGAGATCGTGATACATGTTAACGTGCAACTATTCCAAACATCGCAAATATTCAAAGGACGTCTGAGTAGTCGGAATGTCTCCGCGACGTTCATTAGAACGCCTTTGTACGTTTGTCTTGTCAGGGATATTTCCTTTATTCTACGGACCGTTGCGTGCGCGCGAACATTAATCGAAGTTAACTGATACCTTAACTTTAAAGGAAGGAGAAAGAAGCAAAGAGGCAGAGACACGTTTCTCTTCCTCCTCGTCTACAAACGCAAATCTGTAGATCCACAGTCAAGTTTCATTTAACTTCAATGAATGCTTTAATGATGACGGCTCATTACAACAGAAAACGATGTCATCGGGGTTGACCGAGAATTTATATTCTGCATCCTAAACGCGCGATGTGCCGCGGACGAATGAATCCAATAACAACGATATAACAACGATATAATAACAATCAGTGAAGCGAATCGAGCGATCGGATGTGGCGGGCGATTCATGGGCGATTTGGCATTCGCAGGCATCTGGCCATGACGTGTGGCGGAGAGGGTGGTAGTGGTGGTGGTGGTGGTGGTAGTGGCTGTGGTGGTGGTGATGATGATGTTGGTGTTGAATCGGCGAAATTGTTCCGTACTCATTGCGTCGCGCAAACAACACCAATTACGCGTCTCCTACGAAACTCACGAGTGTCACGTCGTGAACATTACTTACTTAGATGTTTAAACGCTAGAGGCTGTGTAGTCGCCGACGCGAGGATCGCTCGAGGGGATCCCCCTAAGATGCTCTCGCTCGATTGTCTCTCGGGATTTGTCTCTGTGATTACGATTGTGTCGCGAAACCGTTCACGAGGAGAGGCTACCTCTTAGCGCACTGTTTTAAGTCTGTCTAAGTGAGGTAGATCGTGCTGTGCGACGCGAGTCGCTCGTTTGCTGGCGCTTACTTGCGAGCGCGTCGCCGATCATATCACTGCTGCTGTTGTATAATTTTCTTTTCCTTCTCTTTTTTTTCCCCGCGGGGCAAACTCTCGTATACTTCGACGTTCGACGAGAACAAGGTGAACGGAGCTGATCTTTACATGGGCGGTGTCGGGACCGTCGGTGGTGCCGTCGAGGAGGCGTTGGCAGCGTTCGTCGGCCCGTTCTCGTCCTCGTTCTCGTCCTCATCGCCCTTCTCCTCCTTATCCGCCTCGTCCTTCTCGGGTTCGTTCCCGGTCAGGGCGAGATACTTCTTTCTGATTGAATCCCAGTCTACTACGTTCTCGATTCTGGTGGCGCTATTGAAGGACAACTGACTGCCCAACGGGCTGAGGTGCACCACCGAGAGAGTCACGCTGTCTTTCGGGCGGACTTGGCCCTTTTTAACCTTGGCCAGCCACTTGGCGCCCATCTTCGACCTGGGCGACAAACGGCTGGCGCGCTGCAGCCCCATCATGTGCACCAACGAGGGTCGCTTGCGTTTAGCGGCGCGTTGCTTGCACAGCTTGATGAAGTATACGGTCCAGGTGGTGAACAAGTTTAGCGGGGACGGAGCTGTAGTGGTTCTGCAACACGCAATCGCGTTTCCAACACACGGAATGCTCCGTCAACTCCCCCGAGTGCTTAGAGCGAGCTACTTTTGCTTTTTTTTTCGAGGGGACCAGGTCGAGATCGCGGCGGGACCACGAGAAGGTGTCGGCTGCGTTACACGTGTAAAACGGAGAACGACATTGGTGTATATCACACACAAGTCCGTTTTATTCGCCTGTGAGACACGACAGGCTGGGGACACGAAGGGGCGGAGAAGGGGGGGAGAAGAGCGCAATTTCGTGTGCGGTCTCGTAAAAGTAACGCTGTTCTATTTATAAACAGATCGACGCGCTCAACGTACCGCAGTCGGGCGCGCGGGACGAGTAGATAATAGGGATTTCAGCTACTTTAAGCCAGATAGCCGTCGGTTCTCATCGGCGGGATGCTTATCGCAGGCGCGTGTTATATTCTCGGGGTCGAGCCGCGCGCGCTATTAAAACGACTTGCGAAAAGGGCATCGTGTTATCGTATATCGCGTCTTTCAAGAAAGTCGCAGGCTTACCTGTGCATGTTACGGATCAGTTTACTGAGCCCGTATTTCCATTCAATGTCCGACTGCGCCTGTATCCGTTGATAAGTGTCGCTCATCATGGCGATCAGCAGATTAATCAACACCACTACCGAGACCAACATGTACACGCCGAAGGTCAACTTGAAGAGGACCTCGGTCCACTCCGGCTGATTGGACTCGACCTTCAGCTCGGTGTGGGTGGTTTGGCCGAAGACGGCGAAGAACAGATACTCGAAGGCGAGCACCGGATTCATCTTTACTGGAATTACGAGGCACACACCACACACACACACACACACAAGATGTTTCTCGGTTGCTCTATTAACGGAGCGATCGTTTCGTTTCTTTTTTTTTTCTTACTTGCTCTTTAGCTCATTGCTCATTTCGTGCCATTGCAGACCATTGCTACTACTAGTGGTTAAGTAATAACTTGCTCGCTATTGTATGTGGATACGCGCGTGAAGTTTCCATAATAACGTACATAACGATCCAGCGAGCGGCGAAAAGAACGAACGAACGAACGAACGAACTATCGAACGAATGCAAGAGAGAACGAACGAACGAACGAACGAGCAAACGGTGGAACGAACATGCTCATGCTTTTATATAGACTCTGGCCATGCTCGGGCAGCAGTTGCAGTCTAACGCCGACTATGATGCATGTCGCGAGCTTCTTACTGCGGGTCGGGCACATTTCAATTTCTTAGTTTCGTCGCTCTAATATGTGCCTTGCTTTTACATGCCGATTCGGACATGATCGCTTCGCGTCGGCCTTCTCGTAAGGTATGCAACTTTTTTTTTCTCTATTCGCCGTGCATCTTTGTTAATCGGTGATGCAAGTCTGATGTCGATGCGTTGTTTCCCGAGGCAGCCAGGTGGTCGAACAAGGGACATTCGTCGAACAATCGTGCGTTCCGTGCTAAATGAGAGCGAGAGGGAGATGGGGAGGACGCGAGTGGAGATTTTTTAAACACACCGCACGTACGTTTGCAGTGGAGACGAGAGGATGCGGCATGCAGCTCGAAGAATACACGTCTTCCTTGCTTGTCCGGCTTGCGCGCCTCCAAAGCCAGACGCATTGCATCGCGTAAATGTTGTTTGCATGCAGAAATGCGAAGGAAATAAGGCGAGAGAGAGAGAGAGAGAGAGAGAGGAGAGAGAGAGAGAGAGGGAGAGAGGGGAGAGAGAGAGAGAGAGAGAGAGAGAGAGAGAGAGAGAGAGAGAGAGAGAGAGAGAGAGAGAGAGAGAGAGAGAGAGAGAGAGAGAGAGAGAGAGAGAGAGAGAGAGAGAGAGAGAGAGAGAGAGAGAGAGAGAGAGAGAGAGAGAGAGAGAGAGAGAGAGAGAGGAGAGAGAGAGAGAGAGGGAGAGAGGGGAGAGATGGGGGAGGAAAGAGAGAGAGAGAGAGGGAGGAAAAAAGGAAGAGAGGGCGGAGAAGGAATTTTTCCGGTGAAAGGAAGAAGGGAAGGGCTATTTGTAGGATGAGAGAAGTTCGATCGAGAGCTAAACGATCGTGCGGTCAATGCATATCATGAATCGAGACAACATTGACGTGTCCACTAGTATAAAAACAGGTTTCCAACAACTTACTTATAATATATGTATGTATAGTAGGTAATACACAGAAACACACACGCATGTACATACACATATCTGTGCGTTCATGTATCGTATATGTATGTACATATAGACACATATATGTACAGTGAGACACGGGGATGCACACACGGGCAGAGGCTGTGTGAAGGAACATATGCGCGAGCGCATATGATCCGAATATATGCAATAATTAATGCTGATTCGGCAACTCTATCGATTCAGCGGCGTAACGACGCCGAGGTGTCGTTCGAGCTTGAACAAATCGACTCAAGACATAATACAAGATCTTATTCGCTTTTTTTCCTTATTTTTTTGGTTTGGTTCCGTCGTGTCAGGCAGCAGTCTCAGCAGGCAACACACACTGGGCAAAATGCACGATGCAGACGAGACGACACCAAGATGGATCGTGTCCTGCATTCAGTTTTGCGTGTGCCATTGCTTGTTTGGTTTTAAATCACTTTTCGCTCGGTTACTTCTGATTAATCGTTTTTTTTATCTTTTTCAAACACAGCAAAACTTACTATCTCTGTTTTCCTCACAACAGTCATTCTTTTTCCTGTAGCGGCCGTAGCGACGAGGAGGCGCCGTTGGTGGCGTCTCCATCATCCTTTCCGTAACATTGGTCAACAAATCTATCATTGCAATTTATCCTATTATGATCTTGTATCGCTCCGCATGTCTCTGTGTATGATCGACACGGTGTGGACTTTGTTTTACGGTATGCTAGTGTTAGAAATTTTTCTTTAACGACAACTCTAAGAGGTCTACGCGCGCGAATTGATCATAACGTCAGCCGGTTCTTTTCGAAGGGGGAGCAAATTTAGCGGAAGGACAAGGGAACACGTTACAGGGAGGTGTATATATATATATATATATATATATATATATATATATATATATATATATATACACCTTTGATCCTGCGAACTAATTCAAAACGAGACATTAAGCCGACATAATCTCGACGAGCTCGAGTGCTAGTACTCGAGTGTTCGCGTTGATAACATCGAGATCTGCATTCGTCGAAATTACGTCGGTTCTTTAAACCCTAATAATATAAGAATTTACGCAGGGAAGAGAAAAAGAAAGAGGGAGAAAACGCGATTGCCGATTTATATAAGAGAGGAGAGGAACTGCGTCGTTAGATCGACGCCCACGCGACTCAGCAGCTGCGTGGGCGAAAAGCGTTGTCTACATCCTGTTAATAGAACCAGTACCGCGTCGAAGCGATTGCCAATCTAAGATCTAGACCTACGTTAGATATCTACAGATAAGGTATCTCTACGGTGTCTACAGTATATGTGCGCGTATATATTATATACTATAGACGGGAGCTGTAAAATATTAGTTAACTGCGCCGTTAGTTCTAGCCTGGCGTTGAAGTAGAGTAAAAGAAAAAAAAAGAGATAGATATTGGTTGAAGAATGGAAGAATGGATGTGGGGCAAGGTGGAGAAAATCGCAGAAAATGCGAGAGAATGCGTTTCGAACTTACCGTCGTGGAACGCCTCCTTCTTCTTCCTGTCGTCGGCACGCGCCTCCTGCAGCGATTGGTTCTTGAACGCCTGATTGAGCGCGACGAAGTGCATGGAGAAGCCGAAGACGAAGATGGCCAACACGGCGAGGAATCTCGCGAGATCCTTCATGAGATTACCAATGATAATGGCCCATGGTCCGAACAGATGGTGAAACGACAGGAAGTCCAATATTTGTACGCATGCTAAAAGAAAGCTCAGAGCGAAAAGCTGGTTTCTCAGGTAGAGCAGAGTCGGCCAATACGGTCTCTGCACGAATACGAAGCCCATCAGGTGGAACGCCACGCCGAATATCCCGAAGAGCAGCACCGCCAGTTTGATCCAGCCCAGGCCGCTCTTGTCGCTGGGATTCGTCAGCTCGAACAGCAACAGCCCCGAGAGCATCACTAGCAGGCACCACTCGTACCAGTAAGGTATCAAGCTGGCTCTCACCACTGGATAGATGGGCGTAATGCCAACCAACAGCAGGAAAACCATCAGGTAGATGTGCGACGTGAGATACGACATGAACTTGATGATGGGCACATTGTTATACTTGTGGCCAAACGGAAGGGCGAACACGAGCCAGACGGGCGGGCACACGAGGAAGGCGATGAACAGCAGGATAGTCCTGAACGCGTTCCAATTCAGACTGCCTTGCCAAAGTTCTTGGAGGTAACGCTGCACCACAGTGTGCGCGATTACCTCCTTTTGCTCGTTCTCAATCAACACGTCCAGAAACTCAACATTCCTGCGGTCCATCGACGTCAAGATCCTGCCGGCTGAATCGGCGCCCGCCGCTAAGGCCAACAACTCAGTCGCCATAGTCTCACACTGCTTCCCAGCCGCGATCAAATCCTTGGCGCGTTCCTTCTCCTTCTCGGAAAGCTTCATGTAAATGTTGGACAGCTTGGCCGCCGTGTCGACCGGCGCGGGTGACACCAGGACAAACTCCTCTATTGGCTTGTTGTTGTGACTTTTGCTGCAGACCATCATATTGTAGACGAACTGCAAGAAATATGTCAGTTTTCGTGACGATTGCCTTAATTATGGTTTCAAATAAGAAAATTTTATCTCTTATTATTTTTTTTTAGACAATTTTCTACGAAGTTATTCTTTGATTCTTTTCTTCTCTTTCTCTCTCTCTTTCTCTCTCTCTTTCTCTCTCTCTCTCTCTCTTCTCTCTCTCTCTTTCTCTCTTTCTCTCTCTCTTTCTTTCTCTTTCTCTATCTATTTCTGTACAGTAGCAGAACACATAATTAGCGTGCTTAACTTTTTTTAAAATTGATAAATTTATAAAAAATTGGGTTGATCAGTTTGGTTTCTAAGAGGCTGTTATGTCGCACATCGGTTAATTATTCTACAGAGTTTCTACACAATTGATCGTACTGCGCTTGTAGGACAGTGCCGACCGCGGAACTTTATACGACGGGTATGCTTATTTCGTTTTAAAATTGTCTGAGCCAAACGTGAATGAACAATAAATTTTCGTCCACGGAATCACTGCCGTTCAACCATATCTCGCGTGCGTACTCGACATTAAAGCGCAAATTTATTAGTCTGGTTGGTCGACTCCTGTCGACGAAATGAGTAAAACTTTCCGAATGTCGTGCGCTCCTTTAATCCGCGAAACGCGAAGCTGTGACGCCGCGAGGATCTCGAAAATGCCTAGCCCCAGGCGATTTCATTCGAGGTCGTTTCCATGTGACCCGGATAGCTCGCGACGAGATCGCCCGAGGTATACGTATACGAGCGAGTTACGGGAGAGTTCTCACTCTTATCGATCAGGCGTGTCTTACCCTTCTGTCGTCCATCAGAGCATACGTGTCGTGCTCCTTCTCCATGAGGTACTTGAGCACGTCGTTGTGACCCTCGGACGCGGCGAACCAGATCGGCGCGCAGCCAAGATTCGTTTCGCTCTTCGGGGACGCGCCGCTCTCTACGAGCAGCTTCACGACATCCAGATGGCCGGCGCGCGCCGCGCAATGAAGCGGTGTCCAGCCATTCTTGTCGGTCGCGTTTATCTCAGCCCCTTGACCCAAGAGAACCTCCACCATCTGATAGTGACCATGGGTCGCTGCGATGTGCAGTCCGGTCTTGCCGTAACGGTCCGCGCTGTGCAGCAACTCCGCCGATCTGCTCAACAGCAGACCCACGACGGTGATATGACCGCCGAAGCAGGCCAGATGCAAGGGGTTGAATCCGTTTTCGGTGGTCGCCGCGTCCGCCTGCGGTCAGAGTGTTCCCGTGCGTCTTTATAATTCACGCGACTAGATATTCACGAACGACAGTAATGCTCGTCGAACTCTCCCGTACCTGAACACCCGCGGAGTTCAGCAGCAATCGTACGACGTTCTCGTTTCCGGAATAGGCGGCCAGATGAAGAGGTGTCATGCCGGACTCGCTTCCTAATTCTGCCACCAGCGCTCCTCCGGTCGGTGGATCGGATTTCACAGTTCCGGGTACATGAGTTAGTAATTCTCTGACCGTATCTAGAAGCAATCAAATGTACTTCTCTGTTAGTTTTATTTAATGTTTTATTATTTTATTTGATAAAACTCTGTCTCTGGCAATTTAAAGTCGAATAGACTCAAGATAAAAATCTGGGAATATATTGACGTTCTATCAAAGATTTTTATGCACAGAAAAATATCATTCTTTTGGAAGCTGTATGTGTGTATGTGTATACGTGTTTTGAATTCTTATTTTAATTTAATATTCTTGATTGAAATGCTAAATCTATTAGGATTCAGAATGCATTTTGAATAAATTTGATACTTGCGATGATAGATTTAATGAAATTTGATACTTATGATAGATTTGCATATATAGAAGTTAATTAAATACTTGAAACAAATAATATTTATTTCAATGCAGATGGAAGAAACATTTAGTTGAATTAACCAAATTTTTGGTAAAATATGAACGAATCAAGAAATTTCAGTTGAGATTACTAAAATTCTGTTCGAGTTAATTAGAAATATTGTCAACTTGAACAGAATTCCTATAATTTTAGCCAGAATTTCTGGTTTATTCATATTTCACCAGAAATTTGGTTAATCCAATTAAACTTGTTTTTTCCATGTAATATGCATTTTTCTGTGTGTACTCACCGGCTTGCCCGAAGTAAGCGGCTACGTGCAGCGCCGTGACGCCGAGTTTCTTGCTGGAAATCCTAAGGGATTGCGACGACCTCATCACTTCCAATACTGCACCATGGCCATGTTGAGCCGCGAGATGAACCGCGGTGAAGCCCGCGCGATTCTCGTCAGCGCAGGACGCCCCAGCCCGCACTAAAGCCTTCACCACTTCGGCGTGGCCACCCTCTGCCGCCAATTGCAGTGGGGTAGCCTCTGTCAATTTGTTTCTGGCGGATATTACGCCCTGTCTATCAAACTTCATCAATTCTTCGATTACGCGGACGCTGCCTTGCATGGCAGCGATGTGGGCGCATGTGTTGCCATCCTTGGTGCAGGCCATCACCAGGCTGGCGTGCCTCTGCAGAAAGAGTTGCGCCACCTCGGCGTAGTTGTTCATTGCCGCGGCATGAATTGGCTTTTGTCCCTGGTCGTCTGTGGCGTCTATACTGGCGCCGAGTTCCAGAAGAACTTTGCAGACCTCCAACTGTCCGGAGCCCGCCGCCAAGTGAAGGGGCGTCTGCTTCCTCAGAGTGAGCACGTCTATCGCGGCGCCGTGATCCTGCACGAGGAACCTCACCAGATGCGTATAACCGTTCATGGCAGCCAAGTGCAAAGCGGTCCTGCCTACGCGCGATTTGGAGTTTATGAAGGCCTTATTCGCCAAGAGCGCGTCGCAAACTTGAAGATAGCCGTGCTCGGCGGCCAGATGAAGAGCAGATCTACCCTCCAGATCGAACACGTCCACCCTGCCGTGGTTGGCCAACAGAGTGGTCACCAGTTCCATGTGGCCGCGATGAGCGGCGATCAGCAACGGCGTCCAACCCACGGCGCTCTGCCTGTTCAAGGCTTTCTGCACTTCCGTGGCTGACATGCGACTGATCATCTCTTGCAGGACTTCGTTGTTACCCGCGAGGGCGCAATGATGAAATGCCGATTCCTGGGCCTGCTTCGTTTGCATCGAGACGTCTGCACCGCTGTCGAGAAGCGCACGAATAACGGCACGATCGTCGCCGGGAGTGATGACTTCGGACGGTTCGATTTGGGCGGCGTAATGGAGAGCACTGGCTCCTTCATTGGTTAGACTGTTCACGTAGAAAGTCGCCACTTCTGCACCCTTCTTCTCCTTCACGAATTCGATCAAGTGCCGGACCACGTCCGCTCTGCAACCCCTGCAGGCTAAATGTAAAGGCGTCTCTCCATTCTGAAAAAAAGAGAAATAGAAAAAACTTGAACATCGTCGAATAAGAATCTTTCAAGTTTGAAGAGAGTGCGAGAAGTTAGTTATTTAATTGATATATAATAAACATCATATAACTATATTTAAAAATGTATCTTAGAATCAGATTTCATGTCTCGCCGGCGTACTTTTGACTTGGCCATCGGATCTCCGCCATCGTCGAGGAGCAAAAGAAGGGTCGCCAAGTTTCCGTGACTAGCAGCTACATGAATAGGCGTCTGGCCGTCGTCAGTTGTCAAATTTGGACCCGCTCCAGACTTTAGTAACATCAAGGCACACCTATCACCATCAGGCACCCTGGCGGCTATGTGAAGCGGAGTTTCCCGAAGTTTGCCACCCCTCACGTGCACCTCCGCGCCGTATCCTAAGAGGGTCTCCACGACGGCCGGTTTGGCACTTTCCACGGCTATATGGAGTGCCGTGTAGTTATCGTTGGTCACCGCGTCCACCTGAGCGATAAGAGGCGAAATAAGATAATTCCTCGGGCGACGCGCTTTGCAAAGATCATGCAAGGTCAAAATGGACGGGGGTAACTCACTTTCTCGCCTCGTTGCAGCAGGGTGCTGATGATACCCACGTGACCGTATTTCGCGGCCGTGTGAATGGACCTGGCGCCGCGTTTGTTCGGCATGTGCAAGTACACGCCCTTCTTGAAGAGCATAGTGGCGCATTCCGAGTGGCCGTTCAGCGACGCAATGTGCATCAGAGTGGAACCGTCCTTCGTTCTCTCGAAGATGCTCGCTTTGAATTTATCGGCCAACAGCTCGATTACGGAAGCGTGGCCGTTCTCAGCGGCCAGATGCATAGGCGTCCGATCTTGATGGTCGGTGATCGAAGCGGACGCGCGGACACCGTAGAAGTATTTCACCAGAGTCTCGTCACCTTCGGCGCTCGCTATATGTAACGCGGTCTGCCCGTCGCCCTGAAACAATCGCCTTGAACGTTAAACAGTTGGGCATTATATAGCGGTTTTACGTCATCTATTACGTCATAATTAGTGCATTACAAAAAAAGAAACTAAACGCGACTACAGAGGTCAATTTTTTTGCTCTAACATGATTACAAGACGGTAAATTGCTCACGTCATTGATCTTCATCCGATACCATTCAATGTTTTACCGATATGCCGATCTAAAAATGCTGTACGTGTTTTACGTGGAACTAATGCCCGTACTTTCTCCTAATACATGTCGTCGTTAACTGAGAACTTAGTCCTGCGTACGGAGTTACTACTCGATGGACGCAATGCGACAGTCATTCTCATACATTACGCATGCATACCCTCCTCATGCATGTTCTACTATTAAATTTTTGTGATGCAACATAACTCGTCGGATACATCGTTGTGCCTCAACAGGGTGGAGCTCGAAGAATCATAAATTACCAGAAAAAATTCAACAAAAATTCGTTTATTTTATTTTCGCCGATGTCAATAGTTTCAGCAGTGTGAGACGCACATTGGTAAAACCGAAAAGAAAAAGCAAACGTCCTACCGTCTGACGTAATTATTCTGTGCAGATGGAAGCAGTACGCAAAGAGTAACCTTCAGGACCTTGTCGCAGATCTTACGACTGTCCTATTCTCAATTATTGCTCATACGGGAACATAAGCTCGCGTTCTGCAGCGATGTTTGTAGTAATTTACAAGTCAGTCTCGTGCGGTACTTCCGCGGCGCGTGTGATCGATCTTCTGCAGCTTTGCACTCTATTTGCTGGTGACATTGAAGCTTAGGTACGAAATAGAATCGCGGCGGTCGCGGAGACGTGTAAACGGGATGACACGCGACATTTCGAGGATACCGTGTACTCGGCGAAGTCGGAACATTATTGTCGTTCGATTATTAACGATTCCCTAATTTCTTTTTACGTCTGGGTCTTCCGTGCTTGAATTTCGCTAACGTACGTTTTGCATGTCGACGGACGTGCCGTAATCCACCAAGATCCGCACCATGTCGATGTCACGTCTTCTCGCAGCCAAATGTAGGGCGGAGTCGCCCGCAGGTGTGGTGGCCCGAAGCTGATCAGGTGCTTGCTGCGCCAAAAGCTCCCGGCACATCGACTGATTGCCAGCCTCCACCGCTAGCAAAAGAGGTATCTTCCCTTTCTATGGAGAGAAATGGCCACATCAACCTAAGTAACCAGTCCTTCACGTTTATTTGAAACATCATGTATAGACAGAGTGTCCGACACAATTCATTATGCAACTCTGGTTAAACATTAGGTCAAACTGAACAAAAAGTCCCTACCATTTTGCAAATGGCCACGCAGATTCTTAGTTATTAATGAAAGAAGATTAGTGTATTATCGCGCTCAATCGTGCACTCCTTTGATTAATAACTCGAAATTTTACGTGGTTGTGTACGAAATGGTAAAGGAATTTTGTGTTTCATCTTGATGAGTTCAACTTGTATACATACACGAAAAAAAATCTCATTTGATGTAACCGAATAAGAACCAACTGAAAATTAGGTGATCAGAAGCGATATCTCTGTTATGAAAACTAATATTTCTATTGTCGTAACCGAAAAAATTTGAACATTCAGCGACATTAAAACTCGGTTGAGGCAACTGAGAACAATTGACCATACAAAAGCCTCATAAAGGAATTTTTTTTGTTTCTACAGTCGAGTTTTCGTCTGATCTTTGAGCAATCGAGTTGCTCCAACAGAATTCGGTTGTACCAATAGAATTGTTTTTTTCTTGTAGTCAAGATATATACATATCTTTATCGTCGTGTTTTTTATAAGCATTGCTGGGATTCTGTAACTTGTTATTGGAGTTTCGTTATTGTTGGGCAACTACAGTAGAAAAGCTGTGCAACGATAACGAAACTGTCGTTAACTCCAATAACAACTTACAGAATCCTAGCTCTGGCTTTTATAAACCGCTGTTAATTATGAGCAGGCGATGTGATTGTTAGCGTTCGTCGACTTCGCCAAATCAGTGACGTCGTGCCATCGCGACAGAGTGTATGGCAGACAAAAGGAGGAGGAGGTGGTGGTGATAGTGGTGGAGGAGAGACAGGGAGGAAAAAGCGAACTGGAGAAGAGTTATAGCGCCATCCCGTACCAGGCAGCGATCTCTCGGCGCGCGGCAGTTGTCACGCGAGAAACGCGAACGCGAAACGGGAGCATCGTGCCGCGGTTATTGCGGAAAAATCTTTATCTACGTCCAATTCGGAGTTTTGGGGCCAACACGAATCGGCCATGTTATTGCGGCGCCATGCGACGATTGATTCGTTTTGAGATATCGAGGGAGGATCGAACTATGGACGACGGCGATTTAACCGCGACGCATTTCGCGCGCCGGGCTCTTATTTATTTCTCGCGTGATATTGCGAAATTGGTATCATCTTGTTACTTACGCCGTCGACCTTCAGCCTGATGTCTCGTCCAGCGGCACCCAACAGAGCTCGTAGAATTGACGTGGCGGTGCCCGTTTGTCTCGACGCTACCAGATGAACCGCTGTTTGTTGTCTGGGCTACAACAGTGACGCGTGCACACAATTGGTACATTAGAAAGCGTACATTAGGATTGCGTTCTTTTTTTAGGAAAATTTCACTCAATACTTATAATTCACGTTACGTATACTATATAGAATATCGAGTAAAATTTTCTAAAAAAAAACGTTTGAAATGCAACCTAGAAATATGACGGATTTATTGTCGTAAAGTGGATGTTCGCGTAGTTTTTTTTCAGCTACAGGAGTAATTGTGTATTCATACCCCGCCTGTGGCGTATGGATCGACTCCTCTCTTGGACAAAAGCAACTTGACGACGTCCTCCCTCGAGTACATGGCGGCGATATGGAGCGCATTGTAATTGTCCTGTGGAAAGTACGTGTCCGTGAGATGTTTTATGTTTCTCGTATTTTTCCGGCAGTTACACGAAAAGAATCTTATAGTAAAAATTACAGTTACACGGAAAGAATTTTACAGTAAAAATTATTATAGAATTTTGTAGCCGAGGAATAGATCGACATTCTGCAGCAATTGGCTATATCCTTCATATATGCTATTTATTTCATATATGCTATTTATATTTTAGGAACTGAAGTGTGTTCTTAAATAATTTGCTGTTTCCAGTGAAATTTGCTATGTTTCTTAGCAAGATAGACTTTACACGGGCCGTTTATTTTTGCATTATTAGAAATATACATGGAAAAAAAGGTTTGGTTGAATTAACCAAGTATCTGGTCGAATATGAACAATCCAGAAATTCCGATTGAACCCGAATTCTATTTAAGTTAACAAGATTTTTGGTTGACTTAATTAGAATTCGGGTTACTTCAATCGGAATTTCTGGATTGTTCATATTTGACTAGATATTTGATTAATTCAACCAAACCTTTTTTTCGTGTAGGCAATAAAAATTAATGAAAATTTATGAATATGAATGAAAACTATGATATTCTTTCCGTGTACGTACATTTTAATAATTTATTTTGACATTCATCTCGAATATCTGTCGAACAATTTTCTATTTTATAAATTAGCTTCGTCATATGTTTTCGCTTAAAAGGGAAGCGCAATGTATTGCTGCGTTTACTTGTTATCATGCAATTTCGTGGAATCGCGAGATGTGTTCGATTCACGAGGTGATCGAGTAATAAGTTGATAAGGTCATCAATTTTACTCCGCCGCACCCATAAATACGAACTGACTTTAACGACGTTTCCGCCTTTCAATCACGGCGTGTATCAGCATGCTATTTGATAATTATATCGTAGTCATCGTGGGAGTGGTAGATGCATAATGCGCGCGCGGTGGCAAATACATTGCACTACTCGCGCATAAATATAAAATGAATATTTGTTATTTGTGAATTTCCAGAAATTTATGAGTCTGCCAACGTGGCGTTTCGGCGAAACTCATTTGTCCTGATTCATACATTTGCAATCGATAAGCGTTTCGATATGTAGTGCCCATGAGACTGCACATAATTCTTGAAAAAAGTCAGCATTAACCGCATCAGCTTAAGTGACTTCCCCCCAGTGATTTCAAGCGTGAGAGGTCGTCGTTGACCGCAAAGTCGTTGATGGACAACTTTAACGGCTTAATCTACCCTAAAAATCGGATTGCATTCTCATTGCGTTTCATCGAAAGCCAACCGGCCTACTTGCTTCCTCGCACGAGCAGGCGCCTTGTCCAGTCGGTCAGTAAGCATAAGCCCCTTGGCCTTGGCTCTCCTTCACGCAATCGTTCCTTTCTACTCAATTCGACTTAGCACAGATTAACACGGCTCGATCATTAGCTTGCACGTTCCGCGGCACGCGCACCTTCGCAGCGGATTATATTACACGTGCCAGCGCCACGTAATCTCACGATAACTTATCGCGTCAGCAAGGTCAAGCGATTCGACGACACACGGGAAAAAACATTGAATTGGATTAATGAAATTTCTTGTGAAGAGTATGAACAAACTAGACAATTCCTGTTGAACTTCTGTTCAAATTCTGTTCGAATTAACCAAAAATCTTGTTAAATATTACTTGTATATACTTATATATAACAAGATATTACAATTTCATTAATCCAATTAAATGTTTTTCCCGTGTGAGATTCCTGTTGAACTTCTGTTTAAATTCTATTGAAATTCTGTTCGAATTAACCAGAAATCTTGTTAAATATTACTTGTATATACTTGTATATAATTGTAATATCTTGTTATAAATAATATAACAAGATATTACAATTTCATTAATCCAATTAAATGTTTTTCCCGTGTGAGATTTCTGTTGAACTTCTGTTCAAATTTTGTTGAAATTCTGTTCGAATTAACCAAAAATCTTGTTAAATATTACTTGTATATACTTGTATATAACAAGATATTACAATTTCATTAATCCAATTAAATGTTTTTCCCGTGTGTCGTCGAATCGCTTGACCTTGCTGATGTGATAAGTTATTGTGTTGAGATTACTTGGCGCTGGCACGTGTAATACAATCCGCTGCAAAGATGACACGTGCCGCGGAATGTGCAAGCTAATCGAGCCGTGTTAATTTGTGCTAAGTCGAATTAAGGTAGAAGGGAACGATTGCGTGAAGGAGGGCCAAGACCAAGGGGTTTATGCTTACTGACCGACTGGACAAGGCGCCTGCTTGTGCGAGGAAGCAAGTAGGCCGGTTGGCTTTCGATGAAACGCAATGAGAATGCAATCCGATTTTTAGATTAAGCCGTTAAGGTTGTCCATCAACGATTTTGCGGTCAACTCAACGACGACCTCACTCTTGAAATCACTGGTGGGGAATCATTTAAGTTGATGTTAAATTGAGTCACTTAAGCTTGTTAAATTGAACAGAATTCTGATAAACTCAATCGGAATTTCTGATTCGTTCATATCCCGCTAGAAATTTAGTTAATCCGACTAGACTATATTTTTCTGAGCAGCAGACAGCATAAACTTCGACTGTTAATTTTTGTTTTATCTGTTATATACGCAGAAAGTAAGAAGTTCAGTATTGCTTAACATTTCATTTAATAATTTGCAAACTAAAAGACATATTACAAATGTATCGCATGAATATATATCTTTATACAGTTTTTTTTCCCAGAGATATAAATAAACTATACTGTTTGAATTTTGAACAAAAAGCGAAATGTTTGAAATGTAAATGTTTGATTTTTCGTTGGAGATTCGAAAAATTCGTGCTCCTCATAGTTGGTCCTATTTGTCGCAAGAGAATAATTCGCGTCCTCTCTTTGAGCCCTATCAGAGGAGAGCTTTTTGTGTATGATTGATCAATCCAGCGAATTGCTTAATTCGCGCGTTTATCATTGTGGAGTACTTGCGTTGTTCCTGGCGGTAACGTCGGTTCCGAGCTCGATTATCCGATCGAGCAGCGCGCTGCGGTTGTCCTTCACCGCGTACATCAGCGGCGTCATTCCCGTCGTCTGCAAAAAGAAAATCTTCATTCTAATGATATGCGAGTACGAGTGCGATGCGTCTCGAGCGAAAAACCCGTCACGCGATTCTTCTTATTTGATTATCGCCCTCGTTCATCAAAGATTTCCCAGTGAGCCTCTTCGATAAACATCGCGCGCGCGAAAGATCTGTGTCATCCATAAGGGAAAACGTAATATATTCTCTCGCATCATTCAAATGTAATTCGTCGCAGTTTCTAAAACTGTAATTTAAGTGCGTTGATGCCGAGGAAACGTATCGATCGAAACGTATCTTCTCATATAGTGCAAAAATACTATACCAACATTAAACTTAAGAAGTTTTTAATTATGTTGCTAAAAATAATAACGATATTATCATGACCTTAAAATGTTACTTCCCGGAACTTATACCAACATTAAACCTAAGAAGTTTTTAATTATGTTGCTAAAAATAATAACGATATTATCATGACCTTAAAATGTTACTTTTCGGAACTTATACTATACCAACATTAAACCTAAGAAGTTTTTAACTATGTTGTTAAAAATAATAACAATATTATCATGACCTTAAAATGTTACTTTCCGGGATTTTTAATAAATTAAAAAAAAACCCGAACATTAATACAATATAAGATTTTTATTAATTCAAGATCGCTTCGTTTAAATTAATATCACATTTCAATATTTATCAAAATATAACTACTTTACCATCTCAAGCTAACGTTTTAGTAGTACTGCTCTCCAATAGAAAACATTACTACAATATCTTGTTACCAAGTAAAAAAACAAAATTAATTGACTGAAATATTATAACAACATTGACTTTGTAATGTTACGTGGGCTTGGTCGAGTCATTTCAATTGAACTGACCGGGTCCAGAACGCCGGCGAGCGGTGCGATGAAGCCATCCTCCCCCGCGCTCTGCACCGTCTTCTCCAGAGATTTGAGCAGCTGGTCCACGGGTGCCCATTCTCCGCGCGCGGCCAGGCCCAGAAGTCTCTGGGCCCCTTCTCTGGCGGTCGCACCGGCGGAGCTGGGCTTACTTCCTGGCTGCGATGGTTCTCCTCCGATCGCGCCGCCATTACTACCCGTTGAGACTGAACCATCGTCCTTGCCGCCCGACGGGCTTTCCTCTTTGCTGGAGGGACTCTTCTTGTCGTCCTTGCCTCCCGGTGGTTTCTTGCTGTTGCTGCTCATGTTACACCGTACAATCCCACCGCGTAGGACGCGAGCATGGTTCGCTTGAGCGACTCACTCTTGTTCAAGACTGCACGTCGTTGACGTTCGTGCCACGAAGAGATTACGGTCACCAGGCAGACACCTCTAGGTCTGGCGCGTACACGTGACACTCGCCGAATGGAAGACGTACGTCAACCCCCAAAGTAACGATTTCGAAGAGTTCTGCTAAACAATCAAAAGGCAGCTCCGCCTCGTCGTTGATATGAGAGAGAAAATGAGTAAAAGCGAAGTATCGATAGTAAACGCGAATAGTAAGTACTGCGAATGTATCACTCGGAGTTCATTTCGATACATGAAATACGTTTTTCGATGATATTCGATCGATTGTTTTATATTACTCAGTTTTAATCTATTAAATCGAGTGATAATGTTAACGGTACCAGGATGGTGTTAACGGCACGGTTATCCTGGCGATTCTGAGGACTGTACGTAACCGAGAGTGAAGAGAGGGTTGCTTTTCCTCGGGCCTCGCTCGCTCGCTCGACAGGATCGACCAATCGCCGACTCGTTCTCGTGGTTCGTTAGGGTAACGTTGCACCAACACCCCTTTACCGTATGACTTGCACGGATTGCCCTCGGCACACACAAGCCAATCTCGCGGTAGGCCGTGCTGGTCGTCGTCGCTGGCAGGTAAGGTAAGGCGAGGAAATCGTATGTAGGTGGTGGTAACGAAGACAGCGGTAGGGCGAGAGACGCGGAGGGGTGTTGTTAGGGGTTGCCGTCGACACGCGACTTCCGGACCAGTCTGGCAGGCACGCTATTCGACTATCTCGAATCTACTGGACTCTGCCACGGCTCTGAATAACCTTCCTCATTCTTTTTTCACCTTCTCTCGCCCTTCTTAACCGGGACCAAGGACTTGCTCGTGCGTACTCCCTATTTTTCGCTTTGGACATGCCTTCTTGACGATATACTTTCGGTCGGCGAGAGATGTACAAACCATGCATGATAAGAACGCATGATAGATTGCTTTTAACATAGTTTGGTTTGAACCACATTTATATAATATTTGGCGATAAGCAATAAAGAACGACGCAAATGTTCGAGCGAACAGAGATATAAGATAAATATCATACAATTATTTATATCTTTTTACGACTTATTTTTTTAATTCTTGACTTATTTTTCATATTTTAAAGAAAATAAAATTATCTTTCCGAAGAAATTTCAATCATCAATAAAGTTAATATCGTTTATTATCAAGAAAGTTAGTTTAGTTTAAATGAAAGTTTATATAAAGTTAGTTTAAATAAAAGTTAGTTTAAATGAAAGTTTATGTAAAGTTATGTTATGTAAAGTTAAGTTATGTAAAATGTTAAAAAATATTCGAAAAGTTTGCAGAATAATTTTTATACATGCGAATTTTCCGCTGAATGTATTAAAACAAAGCAGCACATATTTATGTAAGTTTTATATATACTAGAAATACAAAAAAATAGCGTTAGTGTTAGTGACGATCGTTTCTGCGTTATTGACATTGTTTGAATTCATCATCGACTTCAGGATCTCTTTAAGCTAACGTTTTAGTGATATTAATACGTGTTACTCTTCGATAAAGAACGCTACTACATTATATTCCTATGCAGGAAAGATTTAATTCGCTGAGATATTATAGTAACACGTTCCAGTTATAACATTGATTTTGGTGCTATGTGAAAAACAATATATCATTATTAGTAAGAAAACATTCAGAATATAAAGTCAGCGGCTTTGCTTAATTTAAGCTGCAAAGTGATAAGAAAGTATCAATTAATTTTGTCATTAATTATATTAGTAGATATTTCATGCTTTAATTATTCAGTCACCGTAAAACTGGTTTATATGCTAATTATATTTTGTCATAATACCGGCACGTCATAAATGGTTTTCACCGAGATTATACTTATCTATGACCGGTATCTTTTGTGATTTTTTATTGTTATTGAGATGACGCGTGTTGCAAGCGTTCTTCAAACAGCTACGATAAACACGTCAGTTAAAGTCAGTTAAATTGTACTCTCCGCATTGCAGCAAATCGTTCGATGTACATCGCATTCGCGCTTCGCTCGCGTCCGTTTCTAGTCGCGATATATTTCTGAGTGGAACGCACTAAATCACTGTACATGTGCGCTACTAATCTATTCTAAGTCGAGATTGTTTCGGCACGTACCAACGTCTCTAAGCTAAGAAGAAAAAGAAAGGTATCGTCGTAATGTGTTGAAATTCTAATAAATCTACAAGCGAACTAATGAATGAATCTATGAGCTAATGTGTGGATCGAAATTTTACGATTTCAAAACACTAGTATATGAATTCCGACGTTTCAGTTTAATTAAACAAATTCATAACTTACTGTAAGCAAATTCGTGAGTTAACACGATTTGTTTGGGGAAGTTGTTTAAGGAGTTTATGAAATATTCTCTTCACAAATTTCATTACATTTGTTTTCATGTAAAATAAATTTAATTATGTAAGATAGACTTTATGTGTGTGTGTACTCATATATAGATTCACGAGTCACATATTTGATACTGAAACTAACAAATCATTAATAATAAACACGAGATAATAAGACGATTAACTGCTGTATGATAACAGTATCACATATTACACTATGATAAAACTGTAGAAGCCATAACGGGCTCAGTATTCATTTTGTACTCTTTCCTGGCGGAATACTTTTATTCTTAGTCATGCTAGTACGTTTTTTCTCTCGAAGGAAAATGTTTTCTCCGTTTATATCGGCTTCGCGACACGTCGCATTTGGCAACCTGAATCGATGCTGCTACGCGCGATATTTCTCTCTGTTGCACGCTAATTTGAGAGGTGAGTAAAGAAGTCACGTTAGGGGAGATTGTGTGGCTATTGTTTGTGTTTAGCATTTGGTTTTACGCGACTTGTGTTTAGTGTTTCGCATGATGGATCATTGCAGAGCAACGTCCGGCTGGAAGATCAAACGTCCGAACCAAAACGAGCGTTTCTAGAGCGGTCAAAGCCGCTCACATGATCAATCCTGGTGAATATCCCTTGATCGATGACACGATCGGACAATTGTTACAGAAAGCGGCAGCTACGTGGCCGGAACGGGTTTGCGTTGCATCGCTTCACCAGAATATTCGTTTGACATTCTCCGAGCTTCTTCGACGGGTTGACTCGTTCGCTGCAGGCCTCAAGAAGTTAGGCCTGAAGAAAGGTGATAGACTAGGCATTTGGGGTCCGAACGATATCGAGTGGTATATAACTTCCTTGAGTGCTGCGAGACTGGGTTTGATCGTCGTCGCGATCAATCCAGGTTATCAACAAAACGAATTAACATATTGTCTACAGAAGGTCAGTGTGAAGGCTGTCGTCTCACCCGACTCGTTTAAAACGCAGAATTACCCGAAAATGTTACTCAGCGCCAAAGAAGAGTGTCCTTCCTTGAAACATATCATCATTGTCTGCCAGGATCATATAACGTAAGAAATTCTATAATTAATGTTGTACTCGAATAGGCACTTTCAGATTTCTTTTTCTGAGAGGCAATTATTGAAATTATATACATACATATTTATTTTACTTCAGCTACATTGCCAAGAAGAGGCTTTGTTTACAGTCCTATCTTAACTCATTCACCCATTCCTCTTATTCTAAGAACTATGTGAAAAGAAGAAAGAAAACGAAACTTTTTATCCTATTAAATCACAATATATCACAATATGTCCTATTATTATTGTTTCGTTTTATATAATCTAGAAGTCTTATACCTTATGCATTTCTTTTTAATATTTGTATCCATTTCTTCTCCTTACCAACGTTCTTCTACATATTCTTATATCTCTACATACTTAAACTAATTCTATTCCAACTCATATAAGTACTCTTAACCTTATATAAACTTAGCTATATAAACTTAGCTTACTTGACCATGCCTATCTCTTATTTATCTTTTTCTCTTTGATCTCCTTTAATCTCTTCTCTTTTTTCCTCCATAGTTTTCTTACTATATTATCTTTGATTTCATCCGACTCCTCATTGCGTAACCTATCCCATTTTTCCTCGCTAACTGTACCAAAATCATTGAACTAATTCTTTGTGTGTTGACACGTCTCTATATAGTGCCTTATATAATTCTGACTAATCCCGTCAAGAACCCATTTCTTATTATCCTCCTCCAGTCAATATTTATTTATATCTTCCATATTGCCACACCTTAATTTAACCAAGGTTCTTACTTTATTTCCTGTCTTTAACTTGTTCAAATTTTTCTTCTTCAAATAATTCGGTTCACTTCCATTGATTTTTATTTCCTTATATCCCTTATTATATTTTGCGTTTTGAATTCTCCTTTCTCTCATTGAAATCATACCAAATAAAAGGGAAAACTGTTACTTCTGCGCGTTTCGGCGGTAGTTTTATCACGAGTTATCAATACTATTTTATTTTATCTTTGTAGCAGCTGTACAAATAACGCCATTCATCCTTCCTAGATAAATGAACTTGAGCGGGCATTTATGATCTTTCGTGAGCTTCTAACACGTTTACGCGCTAGAACACACTAGTTCCATCTATTCGAGTATCGCGTGAGCTCTAGCACTTTGACTGACGGGAACCTTTTGCTCGACTTTACAAAATGGGTTAAGAACACGCCGTGACTTGTATCTTATGCGCTCGCGTTTTTTTTTCAGATGTCAGTATCTCGTGGAGCTTAAAAAACACTGAAAATTGCTACAGATTAATTCCATCCGATTACTTTTTTCATTCAAGCAGCACATTAGTCTGCTTTTTAAGTAACCGTTCGGATTTTCCACACATCGCTTCAATATAAGAAGACAGTCTCAGTTTCAATTCAGAAGCCAGACCAATAATCTCAGTTTATGTAATATAATGGAGACCAGACGAGAAGTATGTCATGAGAAACAATATTTCTGTTATCGTAAAACAAATATTCGGTTGCATTAAAACTCGATTGAAATAATTAAATTCAATAAATTCTCTAAATTGAAATAAATTCTCTATTTATTCTTATTTATTTATTCAATAAACTCTATTTGTTTATTCTATTTATTTATTCAATAAATTCAATAAATTGAAGAGAAATCTCATAGAAAAATGTTTTTGTTCCTGCAACTGAGATTTTTTCTGATATCCAGAGAATGTCTGAATTATACACTGAGAGGAATTATTCGATAAGAAATTAACAAACGGATATTTCCAATCAAAATACCAATGAGTCTTTGTATGCGATCAGGGAATATTTAATGAAAAATATTAGTTCGTAATTTTTTGATCGGTTTATCTGATGAAACGCCATTATGATCAGAAATATTCGATTAAATTTAACCGGATATCCTGATCCGATATAAAAATTCATCAGTATTTTGATTGTAAATATTCGTTTGTTTATTTTTATCAAACAATTTCTCTCAGTGTATATGTGAATTAAAAAGTTTTATTGTACACTGTGCTACGTCAACGGGAAATTGCATTAATAAGCTGTTTCAAGTTGTCATAACGATTTGTATTTGGACGTGTTCGCTGGTAAACGGCCAACGAATAAAAGTATTTCATTTCACGGCACAAGAAACAGCGTATCGATCTGAGGTCAAAAAGAAGGCAAAGATTGAACGACCGCTCGGGTAGAGTAAGGGAGTTTAAAGCGAAAGCGAGTTTCGATGTCAGAATGTGTATTCGCCGGCAATTTCGTGAGGCAACTTCGTCAGAACTCCTTTCTGTTTATTTTTGTCGTGGACCATTATTATTATGCAGCACTCGAGTATTTCTATTCGAATGCACGAAGAGAAAGAGATTGCTCGCCCATGTTTCTCACTCTTGCACGTAGTATAATCGCTAATTTTGTCTGCCTCGCCGATAAGTTTGCTGCGCAGGTGAATCATAGCGCAATTAGGTTAATGGCCTTATGAAGGTCCACCCATTCGCGCTCGCTAATATCGTTGTCATCGGGAAGACAAACTAAATATGATGTCTAATGGCACGTTTAATTTACAGTGGTACCCGTCGTTTCGTCGACGTCGAAGCATTGCCAACGAGAACGGAAGTGGAAGCTATCGCTGCTGAACAAACTGAGGTATCTTGTTACGACGAGTGTAATATACAGTTCACATCCGGCTCCACCGGTAAACCCAAAGCGACGGTTCTCTCGCACCAATCTGTTGTGAATAATAGCATAGAGGTAAGAAGTACAAGTAATATTGTTAGCCGTTTGGTAATTGTTCCAAAAATCGTCATCATGTTTTCAGTAAAGAAATTAGAGAATTATTTAGTGCCGTCTCCCTTTTAATTCGTAATTCCTGTAGAAGAGGCCAAGTCTGGTTGTCATACTTTTTATGTAAAAAAAATATATGCAATATTTTTTAATATTGTCCACATTTTTACATAGGCACAATCTCTAAGTAAAAGAAAAAAAATATAATACCTTATATATATTTATACACAAAAAAGTTATTAAGTTGTAAATAGAGTCGTAAATAATATGACTAACCATCTCATACTCAGAATTGATTATTATATGTCTTTCATATAAAAATTCTTTATGTTTTAAGATTTTAAATGTTTTATTAACACATTCGTGAAATGTTATAATCAAATACAATAAATAATTATTAAACTAAGTAGATAATATAATTCTCATGAATTTTATGATAATAACTAAGAGATGAAGTTTTATATAAGCTTACTGTTACGTAACATGTTACGTAACATTACTTGTGACTTAACACATCATTGCGTATGCTTCCGTGCTCTTGATTTGAGTTATCTTAACCTGAATATTTATTTGGAATAAAAGAAATTATATTTATAAATTATGTTGCAGTAACTGTTAACTAAATGCACACACACACACACACACATACACACAAAATAGCTATACACATAATGTTTCTTATAATTAAGGAGAGATTGTGACTATAGAAATTCCAAAATCAAAGGATCAATAAAAATAGGGATAAGAAAAAGCTTACTCACCGCGTCCAATCTTGAGAAAGTGCTTATAAATACTACATGCGATGTTTCTGTCAAAAGCCGTTTTGTACATCCAACTAACGTGATACAAGCAGCATATATTATACAGAAGAATATGTTTCTCCAATTATACGCGTAAGAGATAATTGACTCGTGTAACTTTTAGACTCGGCCCCTTCTAAGTTTTTCTCTACACTCGCAGCACAGATGTGCAATCGTATTACTCTGCACATTTTAAGAAAAATCACTTTATTTATTTTATTCTTTTCCTTTGCAACGACAGGGTGTACGAAGGACGTTAGTTAATGCCAATGGCAAAATATGTTGCAACGTGCCGTTTTTCCACGTGTTCAGTCTGATACTGGTTCAAGTAGCTACCTTTCATACGGGAGATACATTTATTCTGGAAGCACGATCCTTTGACCCGGTAAAATCTTTGGAGGCGATTGTGAAAGAGGGTTGCGTCTGGACATATGGAACACCGACTATGTGGGTAGGGTAAAATTGTAAACAATTTTTGCTTGATATCGAAGCAATTGAATCGAAGTAATTGATGTCTCATTACATATACTTCGACAGATAAATATACTCGATGCACAGAGACGTTTGCAGCTACCAATTACCAGTCTTCGGGCAGGATGCATTGGTGGTTCGCCTGCTTCACCTGAACTTTTCAAGAGAATACGAGAAACACTTGGTGTGGAAAATATCCTGGTAAATTTTTTAAAAGCGGAATAAAGAGAGAGAAAAAGAGAGAGAGAGAGAGGGGGAGAGAAAGAGAAAGAGAGAGTAATTACTACATCACTACGAGATGAATTGTGCTAAACCTTTGTTTACAGTCTTTATACGGTCTCACGGAAACGACAGGCGTAATATTTCAATCGATATACGGAGAGGACAAGAATCTCACGGAGACAACCGTCGGTCATTTGTCGAATCACGTTGAAGCAATGGTATGCAATGAGTTTCCGTTCTTTTCTGATTCCTGATTTTGACGGAAACTTTTAAGGTACGTTTTAAGATATGCGTTTTGTAAGTAGGTAATGAATGAAAACAATGTACCCGTTCCCTTTGGTACACCTGGTGAACTTTGGATACGCGGATATTGCAACATGACACGTTACTGGGACGACGAGGAGAATACGAGAAAAACGTTGACGCAAGACGGTTGGTTAAAAACTGCCGATCAATTTATTTTACACGAAAATGGTTACGGTATTATTGTCGGAAGACTGAAGGATATGCTTATTCGAGGAGGAGAAAATATCTTCCCCAAGGTGAGATTATATAAAAGTATCTTTATTGTGGAATAATTTATTTTATTTTTCATGGCGAATTAGTTTCAGACAAACTTCTAAAAAGTTCACGTTCTTGAGACATTAGAATTTGACATATTCAATATAAAGCGTGCTAAAGACGTTTTTTAGAGAAATGTGTTGTCTGGAATTTGTTTTATTTTTTGTGTGTTAAATTCGAACTTAATTAAAAAGAAAAGGAGTTGTTTGTTGTATATATATATCTTGCAGGAAATCGAAGACTTCCTGATGACCCATCCCAAAGTATTAGAAGTTCAAGTTATAGGAGCGTATGATGAAGTTTATGGAGAAGAGGTGTGCGCGTGTGTTCAAATACATGATGGCGAGAAAATAACAAAGGATGAGCTGAGAGAATATTGCAAGGGCAAAATTGCGCATTTTAAAATTCCGCGTTATATAGAGTTCGTAGATCAATTTCCGAAGACTGCCAGTGGAAAAATTCAGAAGTTTCGATTAAGGGAACACTTGGAGAGCAAGGGTGTAATACCGACAACACCAAACCGCTCTTAGTTGACTTCGGATAACTTTATATAAATTTTGATACTTTTAGAAAGATTTTATAGTAAAGTTTTATAAACGAGAAGGGAAATTTTATCTTTGGAGTCTTTTACAGAATTTACAAAACTAAAATAAAATATTTTTAGAATTAATTCTAGATTTTTATCGCTACGTTTTCGAGACGTATAACTGATTAATTGTTTGACGCTCTGCGGTTGTGCACATATCGACTCCCAGTTTTTAGAGTTTATTGAAAAACATTGTTTATGGTTTTTGTGATATCTTAACCACTTTATTTTGTAATAACACAGAATCAATAAATAAATTTAAAAAGTACCAAAATAATGTCGTTCTTATCGATAAAAACATCATATACGTCGAGGTAGTAACAATGTATCTATAAGATAGCGGTAGCAATTTAGGGTTAAAAAAAAACACTGTCTTAACTAATTATTTTGTTCTTCTAGATAGAATTTGTTTGATGTAATGGTACATTACATGGTACATTACAGTGATAATCAATAAATAACCATAAAATTAATGTGAACAAAGAACTTGAGGAAAAAAGTAGGTTAAAAGAAAGAAAGAAAAGTTGCATATTACGTTAATTTTACGGTGATTTATTGATTGAATAAAAGGAAAGTTTTCGGAATATTTTACAAGTATACTCAATCAATCATAAGTGTTATTTTATAAACCTAATCTTTTATTTCGGCGTATTTTGTAAGAATTTTGGATATATTTTTTTCGTTTTTAACGTTAGTTTAATACAAGTTGATAAGTATGAAATTTTATTCATGAAATAATATCAGACACTGTTGGTCTTATGAAACTTAGCGAACCAGAAAATTTTGCTACTTAATATCTCCCGTCGGTAAGTTTGTCAGCATAAAATCAGATTCTGTCAGATGGTAACTACAGAAATACAGTTTTATAAAAATACTGAATATACTTCATTGTATGTATGCTATATAAAACATACATATTAAGATAGTTATAAATTATAAAATTAATACTTCATTACACACACTGAACGTTTAGGCATTTATATCGGATTGTTAAAACCAGTCGATAATGTCACTCTCCTTGCTTACCTTTAGATTTCTATAGAGCTTTCATTATCGGATCGAAAATTTATCCAAGACTGATTATATAAATTAATCCTTAATTAATTCTATTTAATTAATATTACTTATAATACCTTAATTAGTTCTTAATAATATCTCGTTGATGATCCAGAGTAGATGTTTTTTGAATAGTAGCACATCCCGCCGATGTATTGTCGAATAACGGGTCGGTATGGTAGTTCTTTCGTGGTTTCGTTGCGTACGCCTCGCGTACGCGAGACATGTGTTGAATTCGACGTAAAACCGATAAAAGGATTGTTTTTTCGCATGCGAGACTCATCCGAACGATTCTCGCACAATGGCTGAGTATTTGGCATCAATTTTTGGAACTGAAAAGGATAAGTAAGTGCCAATTCGTCAATCGCTCTCACTAGTTAGGTTAGCTTAAGTACGGTTGTAAACTGACGTCGCGTCTGTTGTCTCTTTTGCAGAGTAAATTGCTCGTTTTACTTCAAAATAGGAGCCTGTCGACACGGGGATCGATGTTCGCGCATCCACAACAAGCCGACCTTTAGCCAAGTACGTGATCGAATACATATTTCATTACTTGGGTATCATGTTCTTTGATACCAACAATTGATTGACACACCGCGATGTTCATTTCTGAAAGTATATTTGCAAAAGATATACTTTGTCATCATGCAAAACTGGTTCCTTTGAATGTACATGAGCTTATGCGATATTTATGTTGTCTATTTTCTTCTCATTCAATCACTCCTTCATGGGCAATAAGTAAGGTAACAGTCTCAGTTTTGGGTCTGGTTCTAATTTCAGGTCAAATTTGGCTTATTAGTGTGTCAAAAAGTACACATTACAATGAAAACAAGAAAAAATTGTTTATATTCCTTCGTTCTTTTGCTGTTATATTCTAGACTCACGTTCGAACATTACAACAAACTAAATTTATACTCAAGCTTACAACAAATATTTTTAATATTTAAAAAAGAAAGAAACTCTAGGATATCAGGTAATATTTTCTGTCTCATAATTTTGTCTTACACATAGGTGTCTTATAATCCAATTTATTAGAATTTGAAAGAAACTAATTTGAAGTCTAATAATTTTGTCTTGAAACTATGATGTCAGTTGCCTCTCTTGAATCAGCAGTTTGTTTTAATGTTTGATCTCAACAAATGTATGCAAATGACTAAAAGTTACTCTAATCTTAAGTGATCCATAAGTAGGACCGTTACCTTAAGCACATAATATGCAGTACAATTCCACTGTACTTATGACTTTATGTGATGCGAAACACACTTGCATTTTTAACTTTGCACATGTACAATGTACTTGAGTACAAATTGCAACTACTGTCTAAATTGACTGGGAATGTTAGCACATTGTTGCTGCGCGATGAATATCGTTTTAAGCAAATCCCTGTGTTCTTCAGACATGTCTACTGCAGAATCTTTATGTAAATCCCCAAAATTCTGCCAAGAGCGCAGACGGATCTCACTGTAAGTACATCATACTAAGTTTTGGTAGAAACATTACGTTACATACTGCAGTATATGTATACATAAGTAGCGTCACGATATGAAGCACATTTTTATCTGACAATAGTGGTCGCGAACGTGACGGACGAGGAGATGCAGGAGCATTACGATAACTTTTTCGAGGACGTTTTCATCGAATGCGAGGATAAATATGGCGAGATCGAGGAAATGAACGTGTGCGATAATCTTGGTGATCATCTGGTTGGCAACGTTTACATTAAGTTTCGCAGGGAGGAGGATGCGGAAAGGGCTGTCAACGACTTGAACAATCGTTGGTTCGGCGGCAGACCCGTCTACGCTGAACTTTCACCCGTCACGGACTTTCGCGAGGCTTGCTGTCGTCAGTACGAGATGGGGTAATTGCGAGTTTACGCAACTGTAGAATATGGTGTACACGTAGACGCGACAGAAAAGAAAATCGTCTACTTGACCTGTACCTGCGGTGTGTACGTGTGTTTAGCGAGTGCACCCGCTCCGGATTTTGTAACTTCATGCATCTGAAGCCCATCTCCCGGGAGCTACGCCGATACTTGTACAGCCGGAAGAAGGGCAAGGGCCGATCCAGGTCTAGATCGAGATCGCGAGGCCGCGACCGCAGGAGGAGATCTAGATCCCGAGACAGAAGGTCCAGGTCTAAGGACCGTCGCAAGGGAAGGGACGATAAGGGCAGGGATGGCCGATCTGGTCGTTATTGATGACATTTCATCGATGATGCGTGTATTCGTTGCTTACCTTCTTTCCCCGCTCCAGTTGCATTCAATGTACAATATATAATCTCATCTCACACACCGTGCATAATTGATTTCATCATTATTAAACACTCAGTGGATCGAAAACATATAAAAGATTTTCTGTTTACTGTAGAACGTAGACAGTTCTACAAGTTTCATGATATCTATTTATTAATATTAAATTTTCGTGGTATATTAATGTGAGTTGTATGTTTTGATAGCATTGTGTGTGTGATTTATTGGAAATATCAGTTGTAATTTCACAGCGATATGTTGTAATTATCCTTTATATGTATGTATTGTTTGAGATGAAGAGTGTCTCGTCTATGTAAAATTGACATATATATATATGTACTACTTTTAGTTTTCGCATTAAAACGTTGTTGAGAAAATTTCGACGGTATTTTAATGTCCCTTCCCTATTCATATAAGAAATATAGAAAATATAAAAATTTAATTTCAAATTTTCCGTGTTAATCGAGAGATCTCGATTATCTCGTATTTCGTATCGAGATGACGGTAATGCAGTTATCGTATGCAGTTGTAATATGCACTTGTTAAAGAAACACATGACATTTATATTTGATATTTCGAAAATGATTTTACATTGGAATTTTGGGAATAATATTTATGAAATATTACACGTGTGAAAGATACATTTGAGTTTTTTTCTTGTATATGTATGTATGTATGATGTGTGATCGATCCTACGTTACCAACACCTTGCGACAGAAGCTTGTAGCGTTTGCTGCGAGATTTCTCTACGGTATCTTTTACTACGAAGTTTCGCTCTTAGCTTGATATGATTGCGGTCACTTTGCCAAAATATGAATGATCTTTTGAGAAATAGTGTTTGCTCGCAAACGCTGGTTCTGGAAGAATTCTTTGAGAAACGAGTTAAGTTTCAAAACTGAAACTATGCTTTCAAACATAAAGCACATATATATTTTAAGAAAATACCTCCACTTCCACCTGGAAAGAAGCTATTATATATTATTTATCATATTTATATATGATTATATACGAAACAGAAATGCTCACAAAACAGATCTCTCGCTATCAGAGACCCGAATCAACGCGAAATGCTGCGGTGTACTTTTACTACCAACTTCCTAACAGTAGCTTGCGCTTTTCACGTACACGCGATGATTATTCGCGAACCAGGTCTTCACTCCCTTTTGTTCTTACTTTAATCGGTTCCGGCGCGTTGTCTCGTGCCGGCCAACTGTTGCTCAACAAGTTGTTGCTGAAAGATGATGCGAAGATGCGACGAGCGTGCGCGCAGCCGAGCGAGGTTAGCAAAGGAAAAAAAAAGGAGAGAGTAAAAAGTCCCAAGAAGGGAGAGAAAAAAATTAGAAGGAAGCGGAGGTAGGAAAAAAAAAGGAAACGCGAGACAGGCAGCCGGAGGTTTTCAAGGAGAATCACGTCTCCTCCGGTTGAAATCGGTTCATCCGGACCGGCGCGGGCACGTGTTTCAGCTGGGCCTAATTGGCGGGGCTCTCTCAAGTCGAGAGAGAGAGAGAGAGAGAGAGAGAGAGAGAGAGAGAGAGAG